TTAAAAGTTATATTCATAAGACTCGTGTTATTTTAAAAAAATAAAAAAAAAACAAAAATTATTTTGAACTAAACATTTCACTTTTACCTCACTGATATAAGTCATATTTACACATAATTCATTATTTTAAGACAATGTATTTTTGTCCACAAATTGTATAGAATTGAATAATTATTTTCAAAACACAACGAGTTATATGCATATAATTTTTTTAGGTTTTTGTAATTGCCAATCTCATTTAACTTTCAGTTATAATTTTATTTGTTCTTTTGTTTCAGTGAGGATATGAGTATTTACATGCAAATTCAATCTAAATTATGCCTATGCAGAAGAGTTTGTGATTTTGATCCTTTCATATTTGCCACTTCGCTAACTATGTACAAGGATCGAGCTGCCCGATCAGCTCGTGGGGTTCTAGAGGGCAACGTCCTATGATAGGTCCGGGGCAATGCCCAGGCGGAGTCGAGAGGCAGCGCTCTCAAAGTCAAAGTTGTTTGACCACTTGAGCTGCGAATGGCATCATCCAATATTTTTGCAGAGAAGACTAAACTCTTTTTTGCCCTTGAGTAGTAGAGTCTTGGCTCGAGCGATGGGCACATGTTCTAGTGAGTTTGCTTGAGCGATGAGGTGGTCGCTCAAGCGGTATTCACGGCTTTATTTTTTTATAAAGTGCGCCATTTGCTATTTTTTGGTTAAGGTCATCTAAATTCTAGGAAAGCAAAGTTATCGAGGTTTTCTATATTAAAGGATATTTTTCTAAGTGTTTTTTTAATAATTTGAGAGTGATCAATGGATTTATGAATTTCATATTAACATCATCAAGTTTTTTTTTTTTTAATTCACAAAAAAAAATGGTGCTTTTTGGTGAATTTCAAGAAATTTGGGCCTGAAGTTTTGGTGGATTTTGGAGTGGTTCATCGTCATGGGTTCGACATCGAAGTTGTGAATTCAGCGTTGGGTAAAATGGTTGTGAGGTGAAGACAGTGATAGAAGAAGTACATCGAGTTTGGTTCAATTCGAGCGTGACTTTGGTCAATGAATTTTTATCACAATTGGAGGCACTCTAATTGTGATTTTTTTTGCGTTAAATCGTTATATCAATTTGTATTTGATTGTTCGATTAGAATTGTTATTTATTATTTAAAATTGAAACATAATCACAAATTAATATTTAAAAGATTTTAGATTTTTCAAATTTGTTCCACATGAATAAAATGTAATTTGCCATACTTTTCTGCAATAATTTAAAGTAGATTAATTTTCATTTTTCAATGGTCACAAGGGGTTCCGCATTTGCCCTGTTGAACAATAATGGCTGGGGTTGGTGGCAGCATGGGAGTCTAAAAGCAGATACTCTGTTAGGGCTGGGTTTTGAGACTACTGGGCGGGCTCAAGTCTGTATTTTGTGGAGCTCAGCTCTTCCTTATGGGCTTCGTGTTGGACACAATTGCATTTTATTGCAAATCCTTCACGTTTTACCTCTTGTGGGCCCTCAATTTTTATTTATTTTGGTTTTAAGGAAGCAATTTTATTTATACCCAAAAAAAATTATTAAGTAGTTTTAATTTCTCAGTATACTTTATTTAATTATTTAAGATTTTATGTTATTCTTACACTTTATAATTTTTCTTAAATTACCTTTTAAAGTGCATCCAAATAAAAATAAAGTTTCCGTGTTCGAACTCACAATGCCGAACAATAATATTTGGTTGGTTTAGATTTTCAGATACTAAACAAAGCAAATCTATTCGGATCTAAAAATCTAAACAATAACGACGTTAACCGATTCAATATGAATTGGACGATGACAAGGACGAGAATGATGTGAGCGCCAAGAATATCATATATGTTACGATCCCTACAGTGGATGATCCTGTCAAAGCTCCTCTGGTGGCCAAGGAGGTGGTCTAGGAAAGGGAGATATTGATTTGTTTTTTTGGATGGCATAAATTTTTTGGATTAAAATAGTTACAAAAATATAAAATAAATTAAAAAAACTAATAAGACAAATGATTATTTTAGAAAGATAGTTAAAAGCTGATTTTTTAGCTTTTTTGGCTTTGTTTTTTTTAAAAAAAAAATTGTAAAAAATGTGAGAGATAATGTGACTTAAAATAAGTTAAAAACTGGAAGATGATTTTTATCCATCTTCCCAAAATAACTCAAAATATCACATTCAAACCATAATCATTTTAATTTTTTTCCACAAAAATTAAAAAATTTATCTCAAATGAGACTTTTTTAGTTTCAAATTTAAAAATTAAAAAAAAAAATCAAAAAACTAATTTACATCTTAAACGAAAGCTTAAGGGAATTTGTTCTTGTAAGTCTGGGCTATTAAACAAGTACTACTTTGTCTTCATCTATTAACCCCCAAATATGCTGAATATTATGTAAAAAAAACAATATACAAAAATTAATAATTATATTTGATATTTATGTGAATATTTATCTATTTTTTATGGATTATTTTAAAAAATAAATTTTATTATTATTCTCATCCATCATTTAATTTTGTTCAAATTTTCTTCTATTCGCAAAGATAAACAAAAATGATATTGATGACAAGGACTTTTCTTAAGTGTGCAACTTACACCTTACACTTACGCCTTTCTGTTTGCTGTCCTGTTTTATGTTTACACCTTCCACTTACACATTTTGTGTTGGTTGCATATGGTGTGCAACCTTAAGGGGTTGCACACCATAACAGCACCCTTAGCTTTTTTGGCTTTGTTTTTTTTAAAAAAAAAATTGTAAAAAATGTGAGAGATAATGTGACTTAAAATAAGTTAAAAACTGGAAGATGATTTTTATCCATCTTCCCAAAATAACTCAAAATATCACATTCAAACCATAATCATTTTAATTTTTTTCCACAAAAATTAAAAAATTTATCTCAAATGAGACTTTTTTAGTTTCAAATTTAAAAATTAAAAAAAAAAATCAAAAAACTAATTTACATCTTAAACGAAAGCTTAAGGGAATTTGTTCTTGTAAGTCTGGGCTATTAAACAAGTACTACTTTGTCTTCATCTATTAACCCCCAAATATGCTGAATATTATGTAAAAAAAACAATATACAAAAATTAATAATTATATTTGATATTTATGTGAATATTTATCTATTTTTTATGGATTATTTTAAAAAATAATTTTTATTATTATTCTCATCCATCATTTAATTTTGTTCAAATTTTCTTCTATTCACAAAGATAAACAAAAATGATATTGATGACAAGGACTTTTCTTAAGTGTGCAACTTACATCTTGCACTTACGCCTTTCTGTTTGCTGTCCTGTTTTATGTTTATACCTTCCACTTACACATTTTGTGTTGGTTGCATATGGTGTGCAACCTTAAGGGGTTGCACACCATAACAGCACCCTGATGACAGTGGTGAGTTTTGGTGGGGTGGTTTGGAATTGTAATGAGAAAGAAGAAGAAAAGAAAATAATTGAAACTTGGGGAAGATGAAGAATAATATATGTGATTAGGGTCTCGTTTGGAAAGTCAGCAATTTTAGTAGGATATTTTAATTTTTAGGATAAATTACAAATACACGTTTTGAGATTTGATTAAAATACGAATTATCCCTGTAGTTTTGAAAATTACATTCTACCCCTTGAGGTTTCTAATTTCGTAACAAATTGTCCATTTTATTAATAAATCATGAATTCAATTAACAGTTTTTAATGATATTAGAAATATGTTTCAATTAATAATTTAGGTAATTTTATTATTGTATTAGAGAACAATTATGAATTTCATTTTTTTATTTAATTCTATTAAATAAAAAATTCTGACAATAGGGTATTTGTAATTTTCGAAATCACATGGGACAATCTGTACTTTAAGCAAACCTCATGGGGTGTATTTCTAATTTACCCTAATTTTTAGCTAATTTAGTAGGTTAAAATATTTGTGTTTGGGAAGATGGTTGAATTTTTTTTTTTTTGTAATTGAATGTAATGTTTGTGAGAGAAAAAAGTGAAATAATTATAAGTTTAATGTGACATTTTATCTTATTGGCTATTTTAGCATATTTTATTTTTCTGTAAATTTTAGCCAAGAAAAAAGTTAATTTTTGGCTTCCCAAACATAGCCTAGGGTCGCATTTAAAAAAAAAAAAAACATAGGCTAGGGTGTGTCATGAAAAATAAATTATATATTTTATTTTGGAATTTAATATGTATTAACTTTATTAATAAATTTATATTAAGATATAACAAAAATTAAAATTTTAAAATTTTAATTGAAGGTATTGAGATAATTTTTGAATTGAAATAGAATGACTAACCGTTGCTGCTCATAATGTATTATAGGCCCTTTTTTGTGGTGATTGTTTGGCTAGTAGTTATGTATTATTGAACAGTATAATTGTCTACAATGATATAATTCCTCTCATGTTTGTAATTAAACTTGTATCTAGTGGCAAAATATATTTTCTGTTAGATCAATTTAAAAATGTTACTAAGTACTTGTTTGGCATGTGAATTTGGGTTAGATTGGGGTTATTTTAGTCATAAAATGACAAAATAGATTTATTAGTCCCAGATTAAAAAATTTCATATTCAAACTATAATCATTACATTATTTTTCTCACAAAAATAAAAAAAAATCAAAAAGTCCATCTTAAACGAGGCTATTTTAACCCCAAGTTAAAATAATTAAAAAATAAAAAAATTAACCCACATCGAATCCTAAATTCACATTAATTATTTGATATATCCTTTCTCGTATTTTTTTTTTTTTTTTTATAAAAAAAAGCTCTAAAAACTCAATTAAAGAAAATCATCCTTTGCAACTTTCTACAAATGGAGGTGATTATAGAAATTAATACATAATTCTTTGTTTCCTATTCAGCACCTGAAGTTTATTTCGCATTTGAGAGTCAAAAGATGCTATGTTCTCAAAAACAACTTGCCCTCGAGACAAACAAACAAGATTGAAATTATTGAAGCAGCTCAACACAAAAATGACGTAATTTGAATTTCAGTATCTGCGAGACAAATTGCTGAGAATTTCACATAATCAAGGATAAATTAAGCTATACATATATGACACATACATACATGATACATCCCCATATATACATAAAACCTTTTCTGACCGTTAATAGTGTCAGGCCGCCATTGTAGTCTGACGATCTAATGCATATTTTCCTCTTTGAATATGCGAGGATAGCTATGGCATCATTCTCATTCAACTCATCCGCTCTACATTTCTTGAGCTTTGTAACTTTGCAATAGAGGGACTTTCCGGTCAGGCGACCATTCCAAGTCGCCAGTTTCACTACCCTCGGCCATCTCTTCCTTTGCTTTTCCCCACATTACAGTATAAAACCCGACAGATATTATTGTTGCTCCAACAACACTGCAAAACAGGACAAGAAAATTTGCAAAATCAACATCTATATATATATGTACACACTCGCCAACCCGTATATATGTTATTAGTCAAAATGAACACAATTGGAATAGATGGTTAGTCAGTCATGTAATACCTTCCAAGATAGAGAGTATCACTGAGGAAGATGACTCCCATGGCAACTGCAATAGCAATCGACAGTGGCTTGAACATTGCAACATAAACAGGACCCTTCACGCGTAGGACCCATGTGTGGACAGCATTGTTCAAGAACGACCCAAAGATTCCCTGAAAAAAACAGAAAAGCCTCATTTTAGAGCATCTCCAATGGAGCTCTCAAAACACTTGCCAAAGCTATAATTTAGCAATAGTGATAGAAAATGGGTCTCCAATGGCTTGCTATTTTACTTGCCAAAGACGGCATATGCCATATCTATTCTCAAATTTAGCAAGTAAAATAGCAATTGCTAAACATGCCACAACAGCAAGTATAAACATATTTGTGGCTCCAAATTTAGTTGAAAAAATAGAATTAAAACAGTAAAAAACCAAGTAATTTTTTAAATTTAATTTTTCAAATTGAATTACATTTAATTTTTTTTTCTAATTTTAACAGGACCCTTCACGCGTAGGACCCATGTGTGGACAGCATTGTTCAAGAACGACCCAAAGATTCCCTGTAAAAAACAGAAAAGCCTCATTTTAGAGCATCTCCAATGGAGCTCTCAAAACACTTGCCAAAGCTATAATTTAGCAATAGTGATAGAAAATGGGTCTCCAATGGCTTGCTATTTTACTTGCCAAAGACGGCATATGTCATATCTATTCTCAAATTTGGCAAGTAAAATAGCAATTGCTAAACATGCCACGTCAGCAAGTATAAACATATTTGTGGCTCCAAATTCAGTTGAAAAAATAGAATTAAAACAGTAAAAAACCAAAAAAAATTTTAAATTTAATTTTTCAAATTGAATTACATTTAATTTTTTTTTCTAATTTTTTTCATTTTTTATATTTGTCTAGTCAGGAATAATATAAATATATAATTTTTTTTTACAAATAGTTAAAAAAAGGTCATAATAGACAAAAAAATAAATAAAAATAAAATCACAAAAAAACCTATATCCAAACAATACCTACAAACTTGGAGGGAAAGTTGGTTGAGAATTGCCAAAATAGCAAGTGACTATTAGAGTACTATTTCTATAATTTGACAAAATAACACTATTCACTGTCAAATTATAGCCGTAGCAATAGTATTATAACAATAATCATTGGAGATGCTCTTAGACAGTATATCACCAAGGGCCCAGGATTTTCTCTCTACCCAGTGATCTCTTTCTACTTACCGAGCATATGATAGAGACCAATGCTATATCAGGTCTGATAATCCAAGCACTCATGTTTGGCTCAGCAATTACACCTACAATTGCTGCTAGGACGCTAACGCACAAGTTGTAGAAGAAGACTACAGTCAGTTCAGCTGGGTACACCTTCATGATTTGGGCCTGTTTCAATGTCACAAAATTTTAATTAAATTGAGCTTTTCTATGAGATTGATATGAAAAAAAAAATTTGTGTATAAAAGAATCTACCTGAACAATGTACCACATTGGAACCAAAATATACTCGGATGTGAGGAAAAGGCCACCAATGAGCCAGTTGGACTGCGGAGGTGATTGGAGGAGGGGCTGATTAAGTGAAATGGCAGGTGATGGATTCAATACAATAGGTGTGCCTTTGTAGAGAGTTACTAAAAATGCTCCTGAAATTGATACTACGGTGCCTATGATTTTAGCTTGACTGCTTGAGCTTCTCAGTGCTAGCTTTTCCATCCTATTTTAGGCCCACAAAAGTAAAATAACGTTTGTATAGATTTTCACATCTTAATATGTAACCACACTACAGTAATATACCTGTCACACAAAATACTATCACCTTTTCAAGATTAAAATTTTAGTACCCTTATATGAAGTGGATTATTATTATATGGTGATATCAAATGTTAATTATGATATAGTTTCACAGCTATATTAAAATTTTGATAAGTACTATATATCATTAGTTTATTGTTACTGTTTTATATTATAGCGTGCACGAAACCTAGTGATCAATTTTTTTTTCGGAGGCAAATCATTAAGAATAAAATGAAGACAAATAGGACTAGACTTTTCTTCACTTCATTAATCTATTTATAAATGGACAAGAGGGTTGTGGACCCATTCTAGTCCCATTTTTATGATTCAAATCGTTTAATTTCTTGTGTCTATCCATTAGATTATTTATATAAAAATTTAAATTGATCAGATATTGATAACTTAATGTTTTGATTGCATTTTTTTTAATTTACAATCTATTCTCAAAATTATGCGAACCGTCTATTTTTATAAGATAAATTTGATTCAATCATACATACTGTTCTTTGATCATTTTGATTTTTTTTTTCATGATTGATTTACTTAGTAGACACCACAAAATAAACAAGATTGTGCCAGTCTCATTTTGACATAAGAAAAAGATTGGGATTTTTAAAAATCTCTTATAATTTTAGTCACAATGACATAATAAATTACATGTCAATTTTAACTTAAATAATGCTATATATACCAATTAATATATACATTAGTGTACTAGCAGATGATGTGGCATCATTTGTATGGTTTTTAATATTTGTAACTTGTATAATAAATATGGTTAAAATAATATCATAACACTAGTTGGTATACTAATGTGTACACTAATTGGTGCATGTAATATTACCGTTTTAATTTGTCATAAATTTAACGGTGGTGCTATATGCATCAATTAATGTACACACTAACTAGTATTATATCATTATTACTGACCCCACCTATTATATAAATTAAAAATACTCAAAATCTTTAAAATTATGTCTTAATATACTAATTAATACATATAGTATTAATCTAAATTTAATTACCCAAGACTCAACTATGGAATGCGAACGAGTATTTGTCGAGAAAAAATATCTTATTATTTATTATTTCTATTCCTATGATGGGAAACGACCGAAAAAAAACAGGTAGGAGGATAGCAATTAAACACATTACTGACATCACCATAATTTACTTTACAGGTTCAATTATGGAGTTGAGTTGTTCTCTAAAAAAATTGAACAAGGAGAAAGAGGAGATTAAACCTGAAAATGAGGGCAAGTATAAAAGTGAAAGCAGGGACGAGGTTGCTGATGGCTGAAGCAAGTGTGGGAGAGCTGTAATTGATCCCTGTATATCCCAATATCTGAGACGTACACCTGTACCCTCCTCCACCGAATCAAACCAAACCAAACCAAAAAATCCCTCTAATCAGAAAAATCAATGAATTGAATTGAATTGAATTGAATTTGATTAGTTTAGTTTAGATCAAAATTATTCAGTTGTATTATTATTAAGTAGTAGTATTAGTAATACATGTTCGTTTCTTACCCGATCAGCCCGAGAAGGAAGATTTTACATGCGATGGAGGAGTTGAGAGGAGGCAGCTCTGTTGATCTGCTAAAATTTAAAAGGAAAAAAACAATTAGACATTTGGATTGCCAGCGATTCTGATTTCTCAACACAATTAGCTAGAGAGAGAGAGACCTGCGAGAGAAGAAAGGGGAAGGGAGGAGGACAAGAGCAGCGACAGCATAAGCGTAGACGACGAAGACGTAACGGCTCATGCCATGGACGGTGGCTGCTTTGAATAAGGTGTTGAGACCGACGTTGATGCACTCCATCGTCACCATTGATGTAAATGGCAGCACATCCCTGTAACAATACTTTTCCCTTTCCATCTCTCTCTCTCTCTCTCCTGTTTCTTCCTCCGATTCTCTCACAATTATGTACTAAAAAATGCACTTAAATATGTCTCTGCGATCTCATCTTTTATGTGGCCTTTTACATTACGACGACATAATTTTAAAAATTTTAAAGAGAAAAAATAGGGGTCATCAAAAAATTTTCATGAAACTGGTCATGAAAAATTTATGACCTTTGGATTACCTTGATTAATGTGTGGTGTTTATTTTAAATGTAATCCAAGAGTCATAAATCTTTCATGATCATTTTCATGAAAGTTTTTTCATGATACCTAGCATTACTCAATTTTAAATTTTTATAATTTATATAATAACAACAATGATAGAGACCACTAATTTTAGAGTTTTAAAAAGATCACTAATGGCATGGTACTCAATAAAAAAAAAAATACAACACCAAAATCAAAACATCAAATCATTTATAATAAAGTCCACTGTCACATCATTAGTAGTTCTCACTCATTTTCCATATAATAAATAGATTTGCAATTTTAAGATGATAATATTATAATATATATTAATATAATAATTATACGTATAATATCATTGTTGTATTATTGGTGTGTGCTGTTTCGTGTTTTCGACTATCAGACGGACGGCACTGTTGTTGGTGAGAGCTGAGTGCGACAACAATGCAGCGTCTCTCTCTCTCTCTCTCTGTCTTACTCAACCCCTTTAATCATGGTCTCCAACTTCCTTTTTCCTAAAGTCCAAAAAAAAAAAAAAAAAGTAATTTTTTAGCCAATCAGCAAGGACCCCCAGCACCTCCACTAGGGGTCCAATGAACAACAACAACAACAACAAAAAAAAAAAAAAAAAAAAAAAAAAAAAAAAAAAAAAAAAAAAAAAAAAAAAAAAAAAAAAAAAAAAAAAAACACACCAAGTCAAAACTTCACATCAGATGGGGGCTCACACACACATTAAAGCTATTAGGATTCTTTTTTTAGAGCTCCCAAACATTGTTCTATTAATTAACACAACAATTATACATCTCCTAAACGAAGGAACTCTAATGGCATAAAAAATCAAAACAAAAAAATAAAAATAATAATACAAACATCACTATAACAGTGGGGCTTACCCCTAATTTGAGCTCCTAGAACTCTTTTATTAGAGTTCTAAAATATTTTTGTAATTAATAATCAAACAAGGAGAGGAGAGAGTTAATTTGTCAGCACCTTTGGTCATTATTATTTTTTGATCGGTAAAGAAAATCTTTACTGATGAAAGCATGCAAATAAGATACAGAATATCAATAAAGAGGAGTTTGGAGCTAATTGAAACTCCAAGTTCCAGTTGGTAAGAAACCAACAAACAAAATAAGAACAAGAAACGCATAACAGATTAGACTACACTCTGGTTCCATATAACTATAACTCAGCACCAAAACTGAACAAAACCAATCCAAACTAGCACTAAAGTTGAGAGCAGAACTGAACAGAAGCAGCCAAATAAAGCATCCAGAACAATGAATCAGCCAATGAAACAGTCAGAACTGAAATTGAGGTCAACCAGAAACAGACCATCAAAGATGCACCCAAACAGCAGAGGAATTGTTCTACAAATCTATATGTAACAGTTGGTTAATGTAGCTGAAATCAACATCTAAGGTGCCTTTAGACTAATTGGAGCTCAAATCAACATCTAAGCACCTTTGGTCATTATGTGAATTTGTTTTCGTAATTTCTTTGGATCTCTCCCATTTTAAAACTAATTTTATATATTATATATGTAACTTGAGCCATAATTGAGGATTTGTTCTAGTACATTATAATTTTAAAATATTATTAATTAATGATACTGCATTCTTAAACTAAACTAAACTAAACACAGATAAAAATATTTATTATTTTGTAATTATTAATATGGACATCATCAAGGTAATAACATGAGTGACTCCACATAGTCCACATAAATAAATAAATAATATTATTAATTGATGATCCCATGTTTTTGAGCTAAACAAAACTTAGTTTTGAATTATGTAAGCAAACAACGCAAACACAATCAAGTAAGTAATATATGGTATTGAATTATTATATATATGTATAAATTAATATAAAGGGTGTAGGATTCACTTTATATTTACAATAATATTAGCTCCCTAAGTGTTATGTGATATATTCATAATTTAAAATCCACAATTCACTCAAATTGATATTGTGAACTAAAAATTAATAGGGGAAATTATAAAAAAAACTCCAAGGTTTCGCGTGTTTTTCAAATTAAACCCCATAGTTTTAATTTTAACAAATTAAACCCTGAAATTTCTTCCGTGTTTCAATGTGAACCTTCCGTCTATATCCGTTTGATTAAACTAACGGAATCTGGACAAAATTCTCAGATTCAAGAACACATGTTTAAACATTTGTATCTCCCCCGTCGTAACTCCGTTTCACCTCATTTTTGCGTCGTTGGATTTACCTCATTGCCTAATTTTCATTCCATCCTCATACGCCTTGTTCCACCTCTTTTTGTGTGCCTTTGGAACTCTGAAAATTGGAAGAAAAAAAAAAGATTTTTCTCTTTGGACACAACTTTCAGATTCAAACACACATATTCAAGCACTTGTATCTTCTTCGTCGTAACTTCGTTTTGCCTCATTTTTGCGTCTTTGGATTCACCTCATGGCCTAGTTTTCGTTTCATCCCTCGTAAGCCTTGTTCCACCTCTTTTTGCATACTGTTGGAGCTCCAAAAGTTAGCCAAAAATAAGATTTTCTTTCTTTGGAAAAAAATTTCATATTTAAACCCACATATTCAAGCACTTGTATCTCTCTCATCGTAACTCTGTTTCGCCTCATTTTTGCTTTGTTGGATTCACCTCATGGCCTAATTTTCATTTCACCCCTCATGCGCTTTATTCCAACTCTTTTTGTATGCCGTCAAAGCTCCAAAATTTGGGGAAAAAAAAATTTCTCTCTTCTATTTTCTATCTCCATGCTTCTTCCCTCCTACTTTCTTTCTACAATTATTCTCTTTTTTCCTTTTCCTTCATAGCCCTTCCACAGAGCTCGTGGTGGCCACTGAACCTCTGACAGTAGCGATGTCGTCGAGTATGAATGTATATGACTTACAAGAACAAAAAGAAACATAAAAGTAGGGGAAGGGCCATGAAGGAAGAGGAAAAGAGATAATAATTGTAAAAAGGAAGGAGGAAGGAAAAAGTATGGAGATATAAGATAGACCGGAAAGAAAAAAAAAATCTTATTTTTGGCCAACTTTCGGAGCTCCGACAACACTAAAAAAGAGGTGAAACAAGGCATATCAATGATGGAAAGAAAACCAGGGTATAAGGTGAATCCAACGACGCAAAATGGAGTTAAGACGAAGGAGATACAAGTGCTTAAATATGTGTGTTTGAATCTAAAAATTTTGCCCAAAGAGAAAAAAAATCTTATTTTTGACTAACTTTTGGAGTTCCAACGCACACAAAAAGAGATGGAACAAGACATATGAGGGATGGAATGAAAACTAAACAATGAGGTGAATCTAACGACGCAAAAATGAGGCGAAACGGAGTTGCGACGAAGAAGATACAAGTGTTTGAACATGTGTGCTTGAATCTGAGAATTTTGACCAGATTCCGTTAGTTCAATCAAACAGATATATACGGGGGGTTCACATTGAAACACGGAAGAAACTTCAAGATTTAATTTGTCAAAATTGAAACTATAGGGTTTAATTTGAAAAACACATAAAACCCTGAATTTTTTTTGTAATTTTCCCAAATTAATAATAAGAAAAAAACACTCATCTCTCAAAATTTTATATAATCAATTTTTTTTTTTTTTTTTTTTTTTTTTTGGACCAAACTATCAATTTGACACAAACTTCTAAAATAATAATAATAATAATAATATATTATAAACAACTCAAACAAAAGCTTAGGGCTTTTTGGACTTAAAAATAAAAAAATAAAAAAAAGTATAAAAGGCAAAATTGACTAAATAAGTTAATAAGATAAAATATCACATCTAAATCATAATTATTTTACTTTTTCTTTTACAAAAGTTTAAAAAGACAATTCAAACAAACTTTTTAATTTCAAACTAAAAAAATATTAACTCAAAAGAGTCAACTAAACAAGTTTTTGGCAAACAACAACAAACTATTGCACCAAACAATCCCAATAGCATATCAATGTAATCATACCTTAGACCATCTCTAATAGTTCATCAAATAGATCATAAAAATTAAATTTGATGAAAAAGCTTACTTTTTATTGCTCCAACTGTTCATCAAATAAATCATTAAATCTATGATTTCTCAAATCTGTCATTAAACTGAAGACAGATGTGTCTTTTGTCAAATCACTATTCATTACTGGTGGATTTTCACCACTAAATATCATCGGATGACCACCTGAAGATAAAAATTTTACATTGGTCAATCGGCTGACCGGATATCCGCCCAGTCAACCGGTGGCTTGATGAAACTCTATTAGAGCGCTTGATATCAAAAGAAGATTTTGCTCAAATTTAATAAAAAAAATAAACCGTTGGAAATGCCCTTACATTACATGATTAAATTTATAGGAAAATAAAAATTGAGCTTACTTTCACTCAACAATGTTATAATATCATTTTTTTGAGGCTCTGAATATTTTCCCTATTCCGGTCTTTTCAGCTGGAAAAATGCTCCGACTCAGCATATGAGCTTACCTTTCACTCAATAATGAGTGCTCTCTCTCTCTCTCTCTCTCTCTCTCTGTCATGGAAACGTATAGCTAGGTCAAATTCCACCCAAAAAAATCATGAAAATGACTGGCATATTGAAAGCACGTTAACTTCACATAGGCATTTAGCTTAGCAACAATGGGTAACGCAAGCTAGCATAAAATGAAGGGGGCTGATTGTGACATTACAGCCACTCATGTCTCTAAGCTGAGCTAGCTTAACTCAATTATGACATTCTTGCCCACTTCTATATTATTCTACATGACCAGTGACAATTTTCTCAGGTAACTATAACTCAGAATGTTTCTCAGTTTCCTAATCAAATTCAAAAATTTATAATGGCAACTATAAATCAACAACCGATACAAACTCAATTCACCACATGCATAAGAAAGCTAAGATTTATTTATCTAGGAACATATAAGATTTGCCACACTGACCAAAATTGGCTGATTATGAAGTTCAAATTCAAAGTTTTGTCCCATAAACAAGCACAAGTCATCACCACGACACCTAATAAATACAACTATAGCATAAGAAAGCTTAACTTCATTTCTACCCATGGACATCACTGCATATTCTCAAATCATTGAATCTTGGTCCGTCTTGATGTCTTTGGGGCAATAGTCCCACCCTCCTCTGTCTTTCAGGAGAACTTTTAACAATCCCTCCATTCACAAACAGCTCACCTATTATATACATCATGAAAATAACAATATTCAAAATTGTCCCATTAATTGGTAACAATATTTTTCTAAGATATGGCTGCATATTAGGTGCTGAGTAGGGATGTAATCAGTTCAAGACGGTCGGTGTTCTCAAATCATTGAATCTTGGTCTGTCTTGATGTCTTTGGGGCAATAGTCCCACCCTCCTCTGTCTTTCAGGAGAACTTTTAACAATCCCTCCATTCACAAACAGCTCACCTATTATATACATCATGAAAATAACAATATTCAAAATTGTCCCATTAATTGGCAACAATATTTTTCTAAGATATGGCTGCATATTAGGTGCTGAGTAGGGATGTAATCAGTTCAGGACGGTCGGTGTTTAGGTGAAATTTTGTACCGAATTAATAATGTCGGTTTTATTATATTGAAAACTGATACCGACCAAATTTTTTACCAAACTGCACCAATTATGGCTCGGCTTAATGCGGTTTAATCGGTTTAAATACTTTCAAAATTGAGTCATTTCTTAAATTTGTAATATAATAAATAATTTATATAAAATATTATATTAGTCATTTGTACACAATTTTAACCATATCTAATCCAACCATTCATAAAAATACAAACAAAAAAAATTAATAAATACTAATACTTGAAACATTTACTAAATTAGAATTAGAAACAAAATATATTCTAAGAACCAAAGTCTTGACATCAAAACAAAACCAAAACTTAAAACAATAATTTTATTATATGTAAACATCTTCGGTCGGTTTCGGTGAAAATCGGTGTACAATATGTCAAATCGGTATCAAACCGAAAACCCAAAAAAATTAATTTTCAAAACCGAACAAACCGGATCATGGAACATGTAGTTAAAACAAGTCAAAGCAATTGACAAACAATAATAAAATTTTACATAAATCAAGCAATCTATCATGATTCCTAAGCTTTTGCTTCCTAGTAAAAATTAAATTGTATATCCAAAACAAAACAACAGCACCAGCAGCAATGAATACATCACTCAGAAGTCAAAGCTAAAATAAGTCCATTAGGAACCGCTCACTACCCTTTAAACACAATTTGCTATACCAAGATGGACTTGGTAAATCAAGCATGGCATCTGTACAACCCCCATGCACAGTGAAGTAGCTATTTAACAAGACCGCATGCCCTGTTGTATATGAATTCAATGTTTCTTGAAACAAAGATACAAGAAGCATCTAAAAGCTCATATGGCAGCATATAGGCCTCAAGGCAAAAATGCTATCGAACATTTTGTCTCATCTTTACTGACACCCAAATCCATGGAGTTTAAGAAGCCCAGAAAATTTAAGAGAGAAATTTGATATAAGTCCATCATTAGCATTCAAAGGTATTCTTTTTTGTCCTTTCAGGCTATTTGCTTTGCCAAGATGGACATGGTAAAATCCTAATACACTTGTGCAAATTAGCATTTTCTTTGCAAAATGCTAACACAAAATTTTGTGTTTAATCTTTAATGGTCTGCAACTCCACTGATCTGTTATAAATTTGGCATCAGCTCACAAGAATTGCACTTACAATCGGAAACACAAAGCAACTCAAAATAACACTTGAATGGCTACATACCACCATAATCCTTTTTCTCAGCATCAACATAAGAATCGGGAGTGAAAAACGAACACCAGGCAGACCTGTAATAAAGAAACCATCCAACATAAAAGCAGCCCTGATCACATACTTGTAAAACATGAATGTAATACAGATATTAAGTAACACAAACCTTGGAGCTTACGAGCTGTCTCGTCGACAATTTCGCATCCAAACCCAATGTACCCCTCACAAGACACTGTAAATACTTTGCTTTACTCCCTCTTCACAGGTACAAAAAACCAACAAATATCATTTCAGGATTAGAGATGCAACTGTCTCTAGTAAAATTCCACCACCCAAAAGAAAAAGGACCGAATACAGAAACCACAGAATTAAAGAACAATATCTTCCAAACATAGATAAATAAACCATTGGAGAGTAATCTGGGCACTGAAACAACTCATAAACCCCAATTCTCAGCCTAAGTCTGAATTTTTTTAAAAAATCCTAATTTTAGGTAAGGTAATATTGGTACTACTGTCCAGCTAATGGTTCAGACTATTCTTAGCTCACTGAAACTCTCTGCCTCTTCCCCAGAGAGCGTTTTCCAATGCTTCATCTTTTGTTTCATCAAATATTTGATGAAAAACGTACAAAACTAGTGCTCGAACGTTAATACCAAATCAGTATCAAATTAAGAATATCTCAAATTTTTCATCAAATTGAAGATGCCGGAACCTTTCACCAAATTACTGCAAATAGCCGTTAGCTTTACAGATGGTTGTTGGACAATACATGACCACTGGATGACCAGTCAAGTGTCAAGTGTCCGGCTGGTTGTCCTCCTGGTTGACCACCTCCTTGCAAAATTTGTTTCAGAATTTTGGAAAATTTACACTGGCCGGTCATCCAGCCGAACATCCCCCGGTCGACCAGTGATTTGATGAAATCCCACATTGCTCCATTGGAACGCGCGATATCAGATGAAGCTTTTACTCAAATTTGATGGAAAAAAAAAAAAGAGTACACCCTAAAAGGGAAATAAGTAGCTCTGCTCAAAGATTCGATTAATCAACAGCCCTAAATTTGAAAGAGAGTTTAACAGCTTTAATAATCAGATAAGAACAACAGCAATGAATATATGACTCTCTCTCTCTCTCTTTCTCTCTCTCTATAGCAGTTATCAAATTCAAAGTTAAGTTAGCAACAATCTTGTATCCTTTCTAATAGAGAATAGTTGAAGAGGATACCATGCCCATGTATATTATTAATCTGAATCCAATTCTTTTGAATATCAAATTATTGATCCAAACTTAAGGTCATGTCCCCTTGAACATATATGTAATGCTCGGGTAGAGCCAGGAATTCTTCATTGGGTTTAGGAACACTAACAGAAATACCTATCTAAGCTTTGAGTAGAAAAAGTGTTGAGCATATTTATTAAACAAGTGACAATTTTTAAACAGTAACATACCTGGGTAAAAAAATAGAAAAATGTTACGAATCTGAAATGTGTATATCATATTCGTTTTAGGTATGATTCACACTAGATATTATTCTGTTATTTTTTCTGTGTACATAGCATTTCACAATTTTCATATTCTAATTTTTCTGTGACCATTATTGTCGTTATACAAACTTGTTCTATGTCTCTTGCCCAACATTATTTTGGAGGAAAGGGGTGTTTGGGGCAGATGATTCCCATGTTGTACAGGCATTGTCCTCCTTTTTAGCTTTTCCCCACATCATAGTGTAGAATCCAAAGGCAATTTTGGTTCCACCAATAACACTGCACAGCACATCAAATTTACAGTCATAAAAAGCATGCCCTTCATCACTTTCAAAGCAAAAACAAAACTCTGCATACATTGTAATATTGTTGAGATTCAAGAACATGACTATGATGATATATGTCTATATACCTGCCAAGATGAAGTGCATTGCCGAGGAAGATGAGCTCAAAGACCACTGCAATAATCATTTGTGGGCTTGAACATGGCTAAATAAACGGGACCCTTCTTATGCAGGCACCATGTCAGAGCATTGGTTCGGAACACAGTACCATATATTGCCTGAAATGGACCCAATAAGTGAGGACGAGTTAATGAATAACAATCAATTAAAGCCATATGTGCTTAATTTTTTGAATCTGTTTCAGAGCGTTTAGTATAGTTTCTTCGTACATGCAAAAAAGACTTATCAGTTTTTAGCTTGCCAGGGTGTTTGGAAGGTATATTTTTAGCTTCGGCATTTGGATTATCAGTTTTGTTTTTAACTTATGAGAAACTGCACCAAAGTAATGCACATTCAGAGGCATATTGTGGTAGAAGAACACAGCTAAGCTTTCCAAAACATATCCAACACAACTAAAACAAAAGCTGTTAAGTTATAGTCTTCTTACTGAAAACACAACAGAAATCATCTCGACCCCAGGTGTTAGAATCCAAGCAGTTGGATTTCTTTCAGAGATGAGAGAGAAAATTGTACACTGGATCGTGCCAAAGAAGCAGTAAAAAAAGACTACGGTGATTTCATCTGGATACTCCTTAATAGTTGCTGTCTGCAATTAGAAATCAACAACAGCTTCCTTTAGAGAAAAGTTTTGACCTAAGTAACATTGGCGGATTTTTTCTCGAGGGAGAATATTAGATAAATGGAAAAAGACAAAATAATTGCAAGAATATTAGATAAATGGAAAAAGACAAAAATAATTGCAAGTGAGTGCAAGTGTCATTTTTGCACAATTCTATAGCATCTCATAATTTTTTGGTAGTTTTTTACCTGCACAATGTTCCATATAGAAGATGAAAGGCAAGAGATTCCAAGGAAAAGCCCTCCAAGGACCCAGTTTGGTTGTTCTTGTGACAAAAGAAGCCGGTGAGGTAAATTAGAAGGCAAGATGGCCACCAGCAGTGGCGGTCCTTTATAAAGAGTCATCACAAATGCTCCTAACACTGCCACAATGGTCCCCAAGGATTTCGCTTGTCTACTTGGTTTTCTCAAATCAAATTTCTCCATCCTAAAAATTGTAAAAGTAAACGAAAATTCAAAATATACTTAAGAACCTAAATATGTTGAGAGAGAGAGAGAGAGAAATTGCAAGAATGGAATTTTATTTTTATTTTAATAAATACAAGAAGGGGGTTCGGGTTATTTGGCAACTTCTTGTAACTTCATGTCTAGAGACTAGAATGCAACATCCCAATTCTATACCCTAAGGTCATGTTTGTTTGGGTAGACATGAGCTTGGGATTGGACTAATAGTCTAATAAAATTATTAATCCGATGTTTGGTTAAACAATTGAAGTACGGACTAATTATTTTAAACTTGACTATTAATTAAGATAGGATACATAATCCAACGAATTCGTAGTCCTAGGACTATTAGTCATGGGAATGCTAATTCAGTCCGCTCAAACAAACATGGCCACAAGGTATTAGTAATACCAAGGTATTAATAGTCCCAAGGCTATCTCTCAAAACAAACACCCCATAAGTGAAACAGGAACATGATGTCTTCCTTATATGGTTGTCTGACTTGGTGCATTTTTCCCGGCCTGTTTCTCTTAGGAATAAAAGATCACTCCTTTTCATAGGGAAACTAGGGAGAAAGAAAAGGAAGAATGAAGTAATAACCTTTGAATCTTTTCATGAATACAAGAACTTTTCAAACATTTCAAGACATGAGCTTGGGATTGGACTAATAGTCCAATAAAATTATTAATCCGATGTTTGGTTAAACAATTGATGTAGGGACTAATTATTTTAAACTTGACTATTAATTAAGATAGGATACATAATCCAACGAATTCGTAGTCCTAGGACTATTAGTCATGGGAATGCTAATTCAGTCCGCTCAAACAAACATGGCCACAAGGTATTAGTAATACCAAGGTATTAATAGTCCCAAGGCTATCTCTCAAAACAAACACCCCATAAGTGAAACAGGAACATGATGTCTTCCTTATATGGTTGTCTGACTTGGTGCATTTTTCCCGGCCTGTTTCTCTTAGGAATAAAAGATCACTCCTTTTCATAGGGAAACTAGGGAGAAAGAAAAGGAAGAATGAAGTAATAACCTTTGAATCTTTTCATGAATACAAGAACTTTTCAAACATTTCAAACATAACCTCAAAAGAGTTAAAATTAGACAGGTATGTGATCACATTAACCAACAGAAATGATATAGTCAAGAACATTTGCATTGAACATTTCAATTGCATAGCCATAACCAACAGTCAAATTAACTCGTTTTTTGTATTAATGGTAAACACAACTGGAAGTGATTTGTTTGTCTACTAAGGTCAATCCTACCTGAAAAGGACTGCAAGCAAGAATGTAAAAGCCGGAAATAGGTTACCCAGGGCAACTGCCAGAGTTGGGGAGCTATAGTTGATTCCAGTGAATAAACATATCTGCACCAAACAAGTCCTGCAACAGACAAAAACCCCTACTCAGTTCTTGAAAATCATCAATAAGGTGTAAAATTGGATTCATTAATTACACATAGGCATTGTTACCCAAGTAGACCAAGGAGTGAGAATCTGCACAGGAGAGAGAAACTGAGCGGAGGCTGCTGGGTTCTGCTGAAAAAGTTTTAGGTGTTCAATGGGTTTGTTTGTTGTAAGAGAATCAGAAACCACAATATGGAAACAACAAACCTGTGCCTATGAAAGATGAAAAGAGGAAGAAGAATGAGGGTGCCAAGAGCATTATGGTATACGACGAAAACCAAGCTGTTCATCCCAGTATTCATAGCTGCTTTGGTTAGTGTTTTAGTACACACATCGCCAAACTCCAACATTACCATTACTGCAAAGGGTAATTCCTTCTTCATCCAAGATTGCAGCCCCATCATCTCTGTGAATCTCTCCCCAAGAGCACTCCTTCACTGTTGCATAAGTTTAGAAACAGAGAACACTCGAATCTCTACACAGAATATATATATGCAAGAAGTACTCTTACTTCGAATACATTCACTGGATTATGATATAAAAGGAAAGTAATGATTAAGCTAATGCAAGAAACCTTTAAAAAAAGTTCTCCCCCTATGGTCCTGCTAACCTTTTTATACATTGGGCATTCTGTTCTCTGATTATCATTATTGTGCTTAAACTAATAGTAATAACTTGAGATATTGAAAAGAATAAATATTATCAACAACAATTAGGAATCTTTCACTAACCCACATGACAATTGAGGTGTCATCTGCTGGCCCAGTCACTAAAAAAGATCATTTAACATTTGCTGATAACTCAATTAATTGAACAAATGAATGGTTTGACATCAAATCCTCGTGTGTTTTTCTTTGCTTTAGATTATTTCAATTTGCAGAATCTTCCTAATTAAATCGATTCAGTTGGAGGCTCCAAGTTTGATAGTATGAAAAATAATATAGTATTCATTAGTTGCAAGATCATACATGATTGGAGTAAGGACCTTGACTTGCTAACAATAATGTATATTTAACAACCTTCATAGGAAAATTATGCTGCTCACCAACAAAAAAATATTTGGACTTTCAATACCACTTGAATTAATCATGTTTTGCTTACACATTTACTATTCCATACACAAATACATATATATATATAAATTCCCATCCTACATCTCAATTATTAGCAATGCTAATAAAGTAGAGTTCCACATCTCAATTAGTAAACAACCTTCCCTTGTCATGGGGGGAAAAAAATTCAATGTTCCCTTAAAATGCCACGAATCAAACACACAAGTGATAGTGGTCCAATATTAGACAACTTCAACCGACCATCAAAAGATTTCAACACAAGATCTCTTCATTGAACAAATTCTGACAAATTATACATTTTCCAGCTGTTTTGTTTCAAGTACTGCTGGCTTGCTTTAAGATGCAAATCCACACACACATGGGTTGTGCCCCAGAACCGGGTGAGAAGTCTGGTTTAGTATCCTAAACTGAAATAAGTCAACTCTCATTCAGGCTACTGAAATGAACCAAAGGCTGTTGTTGACTCCAAAGACCGAGGTTTGATTTTTATTCCTGAAGAGCAACCTGCACCCTAGCTCATTGTCACAGCCCAAACCCGCCCCTATGGGTTTAGCACCGTAACCGGCCAGTAATCCGAGATTACCGAAGGCTTGCTTAACAGTAATACAGTAATACAGAGTACAGGGGCATGGCGGAAGCCAAAACAGTAAATAGACAATGTCCAATGAGCTGTGACAGTCTGCATGCAAAAAGACTTTTCATATATATATATACAATCAATACCAAGACAGTATGTACAATGTATACAATCATTCAGGACAGGGACTTAATCCCTATTAAATAGTACATTACAAAAACATTCAGTCTAAACAGTAGTTACATAACAGATACCAAAAGGGAAAAACTAAAACATCCCCAAAGCCCTGGCTTGACAGGCTCGGAACCTCGCAGTGAAGCACACTGGTTGGCTTGACAAAACTGGAGTTTACCCTAACGCTTCTAGCAACGGTCTGGTGCCTGTACACCTACATATATATATATATATATGAGCAGTGAACTAAAGCCCAGTGAATAACATAATGTGTAAAGAGGTTAAGAATGAATGTCCTTTCAGTATTGAAAACAGTCAATTGATTCAGCATAACAGTCATTCAGTCATAACAGTCATATGTGGTACATCCATTAGCAGAAACAGTATAGTAAACAGTAGGTCTTGAGAGACCGAACAGTCAATGATGGCCATCAGTAATGGTTCAAACATGGGAACCGACAGAGATCTCTGTAACAGTAGCAGTAACAGTTCAGTAACAGTATATTGCTATGGATGCCACAATACAGTTCAGAATAGAGGACAAACACTCATTCAATTAACAGTAAACAGTTCAAAAAACAGTTCAATTGATCATTCAGAAAATATTCATTTTCGAATATATCTTTACAACATTGTTACTCACAGAGTTCTGGGCTACAGATAAGCTAAAGCGCGTCTCCGAATGCCAACCCTACACAGTTACAGAGTGAACACACACTAAGCTACACAGTTGGGAAAATAATAACTTAATCCCTATCTTGACTCGGTGTGGTTCTACATCAATATCCTCATTAAGATGCCTTAAACTAGGCCTAAGAATGCCTAGAATGAAATGAGGATGCAAAGATGCACTTGGAAAACATTTTCAGAGTTTTCAGAAAACAGGGGTCTCGCTCAAGCGTGGGATTCCCCGCTCAAGCGGACATGCAAACAAAAGACTCCGCTCGAGCGTAAACTTTCCCGCTCGAGCGTACTGAAAAAATACTGGATGTGTGAAAATAACGCTCGATTGGGCGCTCGATACCCACTCGAGCGTGTGAAACAAGTCTTCGCTCGAGCGGACTGTAAAACAGTGCAAAGTGCTGGATGCACGAATTTCACGCTCGAGCGCCAGACACTCCGCTCGAGCGTAAGTCCAAAATCTGGAATTTCCAGATTTGAACCTCAAGCTCAAAAACAAGTTTTAATGTACTAAATTCGATCCTTTTGGACTAATTTTCTGGAAAACACTTCAAAACTCATAATATAACATGTTTCAAAGGTCAATTTGAGAAATCAAAGCTCAAAGGTAGTTCCATTAAACTCAATTTCAAACCAATTTTCATGAACAAGACTAATATGGAACATGCAAGAATTTAAACACTTCAAAGCTTCAAATGCTAGCTCAACTGAGCCAATTCTTTTCAAAACAAGATAAATTCATGGCCCTTAGCAAAAATATGAACATGCATGTGACCATTTTCCATGAAAACAACTTTAAACTCCTCAATATAGGCATGCATGCATGAAATGAGCTTCAATTCAACATATAGAATCAATTCTAGACTTAGATCACTAAGGACACAAGAACCATGCATGAATCAATTCAAAAACAAGTTCAAGAAGGGGGATGTTCTACCTTAAGTCTTGTATTCAAGGTCTAGGAGCTCAATTTGCAATCTATACTTCAATTCTTTAAGTTCTTCATGCCAATTCACAAAATAAAGTTGAAATCACTCCTATTCTCTCACTCTCTCACTCTAGTCGGTTGTGGCCTCTAAAATGGCTGAGGGAGAAATGTTATGTGATCAAGTGCAAGGCTCAAATGTGTTAGGTAGTGGGCCACTAGGATGGTAATATGGTAAATAGGGCATCTTGTGTAATTTAGCTCATTTTAATCTAATTTAATCATACCAAATCACAATTCAGATAAATATGCCATAAAATCACATAAATTACGATTAACACCTATCACTAATCAATTTCAGATTCGGCCGCCGATAAGACCTTTAATTTGCAGTTTAAACATAAACCATGAACAGATAATTAAACAATCAAACAGATAGACATGAATTTAAACTAGTACGTTCAATCAGTCAGTTCAGTGTTTCAGTCGATCCAATTACTTATCATAATCAGTCACAGCTTAGCAGTAATCAGTAGGGTTATCAGGAATCAGTGGTGAGGGTTATTACACTCATAAACGTGACAAAGGTAAATCAACTAGAAGGGCAGGTTGATAAAAAGAGAACATAGCTCACCTAATGCCGTGACAAGTGGTATAAGAGCCAAAGGTTAGGCCAAGCCATGCCTAGTGGGAATAACCCGTAGGCTAGTGCCATCAAAGAGGCTCGACGGGAGCGGACTCATGATCATGTGAAAATTCTACGAGTACATGAAGAAAAAAATAATAATAATAATAATAACAGAAAAATGTACGAAAAAATCATGTGTGGTACAGATTCATTTTGTAGTCTGTAAGAGACACCCAAAATGATTTGAGCCGCACATTGATTTTTCTGTACTTTTCTTTGTACATAACATTACTGCCTTCAGAATCTAGAAACTAAACAATCTTGTTATTTCTTATAAATACATGCATAAATCAAACAAACTTAACTCTTCCTCTGCTTTCTTCTCAAAAAAGGCAACACACATATAGAATTTACAAGGGCTGCCACAGAATCACCTTTTTTGATGCTTTCTGAAGGAGACATTTGTAACCCAGAATGATCATGACTAGTTATAGGAATTGAATGGTCAAAATTCTGCTTGCTATTAAATGCGTCTGTTCTCAGCCATCCTGAAATCCATCCAAAGCTCGTGTAGGATTAGAAACCAATTGAACTGGACCAATATCAGAATAAGGAATTCTTCATTGGGTTTGGGGACACTAACAGAAATACCTGTCTAAACTTTGGGAACAAAAAGTGTGGAGCATATTTACTAAAGAAGATGAGCAAATGATAATGCTCAAACAGTAACATACCTGAGAAAGAAAATAGAAAAATGTTAAGAATTTGAAATATGCCCACACTAGATATTGTTCTGTTTATTTTTCCTATGTACATAGCAATTCAGGGTTTGTGAAATTTACCGGTCACAAAATTTACATATTCTAACTTCTCTATGACCATTATTGTGGTTATACAAGCTTGTTCTATCTCTCTTGCCCAACATTATTTTGGAGGAGAGGGGTGTTTAGGGCAGATGATTCCCATGTTGTACAGACACTGTCCTCCTCTTTAGCTTTTCCCCACATCATAGTGTAGAATCCAAAGGCAATTATGGTTCCTCCAATAACACTGAACAACAAAACACATCAAATTTACATCATAAAAATTATGTCCTTCCATCACTTTCAGAGCAAAAACAAAACTCGGCATACATTGTAACATTGCTAAGATTAGAAAACATGACTATGATGATATATATACCTGCCAAGATGAAGTGCACTGCCAAGGAAGATGAGCTCAAAGACCACTGCAATAATCATTAGTGTGGGCTTGAACATGACTACATAAACTGGACCCTTCTTATGCAGGCACCATGTCAGAGCAGTGCTTCGGAACACAGTGCCATATATTGCCTGAAATGGAGCCAGTAAGTGATAACAAGTTAATAACAATCAGTTGACTATCTTGTGGACAATCTATAGAATGCCTCACCAATCAAGAAAGGCGATATGCACTTAATTTTTTTTCAATTTGTGAGTATTTAATACAGTTTCTTTGTGCATGCAAAAATGACTGATCAGCTTTTAGCTTGCCAGGGTGTTTGAAAGGGGATAATTTTAGCTTCTGCGTTTATCAGAAGCTGTACCAAAGCAGTGAGCATTCAGAGGCATATTGTGGTAGAATAACACAGTTAGGCTTTCCAAAACATGTCCAACACAGCTAAAACAGAACCTATAAGTTCATAGTCTTACTGAAAACGCAACAGCAATCATCTCAACCCCAGGTGGTAAAGTCCAAGCAGTTCGATTTCTTTCAGCGATGATAGAGAAAATTGCACACTGGATGGTGCCAAATAAAGTGTAGAAAAAGACTACGGTCATCTGGGTACTCTTTTAACAGTTGTTGTCTGCATTTAGAAATCAACAATAGCTTCCTTCAGAGAAAAGTTTTGACCTTACTAACTAAACATTGGCAAATTTTTGCTCAAGGGGGAATATTGAGGGAGACTATTAGATAAATGGAAAACAAGAAAAATAATCGCAAGTGAGTGCAAGAGTCATTTTTTCACAATTCAGTAGCATCTCATAAAGTAATTTTTTTGGTGTTTTTTTACCTACACAATGTTACATATAGAAGCCAAAAGGCAAGAGATTCCAAGGAAAAGCCCTCCAAGGACCAAGTTTGGTTGTTGTTGTAACAAAAGAAGCGGGTGAGGTAAATTATAAGGCGAGGTGGCTATCAGCAGTGGTGGCCCTTTATAAATAGCCATCACAAATGCTCTTGACACTGCCACAATGGTCCCCAAGGATTTTGCTTGACTTCTTGGTCTTCTCAAATCAAATTTCTCCATCCTAAAAATAGGAGAAGTTAATGAAAAATCAAAATATACTTGAAACCCTAATGAGTGCAAGAGTCATTTTTTCACAATTCAGTAGCATCTCATAAAGTAATTTTTTTGGTGTTTTTTTACCTACACAATGTTACATATAGAAGCCAAAAGGCAAGAGATTCCAAGGAAAAGCCCTCCAAGGACCAAGTTTGGTTGTTGTTGTAACAAAAGAAGCGGGTGAGGTAAATTATAAGGCGAGGTGGCTATCAGCAGTGGCGGCCCTTTATACAGAGCCATCACAAATGCTCTTGACACTGCCACAATGGTCCCCAAGGATTTTGCTTGACTTCTTGGTCTTCTCAAATCAAACTTCTCCATCCTAAAAATAGTAGAAGTTAATGAAAAATCAAAATATACTTGAAACCCTAAATATGTCGAGAGAGAGAGATTTGCAAGAATGGATTTTTTTTTTTTTTTAAAAAAAAAAAGAATAAAAGAAGGGGGTTCGGGTTATTTGACAACTTCTTGCAACTTCATCTCTAGAATGCAACATACCAATTCTATTGGGATTTGGAAAGGGAAAGGAAAATGTAGGTAAAATGTGAACGAAATAGACTTACATTCCATACACCTTTTCCCTTTCCTTTTCCGAATCCCTACCCAGATTCATAATCCAAACACAGCGTAAGTGAAATAGGAACATGATATCTTCCTTATATGGTTGTGTGATTTGGTGCAACTTTCCTGGCTTGTTTGTCTTAGGAATAAAAGATCGTTCCATTTAATAGGGAAACTAAGGAGGAAGAAAAAGAAGAATGAAGTAATAACCTTTGAATCTTTTCATGAATACAAGAACTTGTCAAACATTTTAAACATAACCTCAAGCGTTAAAATTAGACAGGTATGCGATCATGTTAACCAACAGAACAGATGATATAGTAATCGAGTTCATTTTCCCAACAACATTATTTGCATTGAACATTTGAAATTGCAAAGCCATATCCAGCAATCAAATTAACTTGATTCTTGTATTATTGGTAAACGCAACTGGAAGTGATTTGTTTGTCTAGTAAGGTCCATCCTACCTGAAAATGATTGCAAGCAAGAATGTAAAAGCCGGTAATATGTTAGACACAGCGGCTGATAGAGTTGGGGAGCTATAGTTGATTCTGGTGAATACACATATCTGCGTCAAACAAATCCTACAACAGAAATAAATCCCTTTTCAGTACTTGCAAATCATCAATAAGGTGTAATAATCTGATTCATGAATCACAGCCATTGTTACCCAAGTAGACCAAGGAGTGAGAATCAGCACAGGAGAGAGAAACTAGGTGGAGGCTGCTGGCTTTTGCTGAAAAAGTTTTATTTGTTCAATGAATTTGTTTGTTGTAAGAGAATCAGAAACTAGAATATTAGAAATGGAAACAACAAACCTATGCCTGTGAAAGATGAAAAAAGGAAGAAGAATGACGGTGCCAAGAGCATTGTGGTATACAACGAAAATCAAGCTGTTCATCCTAACATTCATAGCTGCTTTGGATAGTGTTGTACTACAGACATCGCCAAACTCCAACATTACAATTACTGCAAAAGGCAATTCCTTCTTCATACAAGATTGCAGCCCCATCATCTCTGTGACTCTCTCCCCAACCTACTCCACTGTTACATAAATTTACAAACTAAAAACTCACCAATCTCTACACAGAATATATATATATATATATAGAACTACTCTTACTTTCACTATCCGGAGTGGCTCATCAGAAAGACAATTCTGTGGTGAAGATGGGGTTGGAAGAGGCACATAGAGGTTGGTTCAATTAGGCGTTGTGGATTCGCTAGGTAATTGAGAGTATACCTGTGTAATTCCTTTAAATCTTCTTAGTGGATTGTTCTTGTGGCTGTTGCCCGTGGTTTTTTGATCACAGTTGGAGGTGTCCAATTGTGGTTTTTTCCACGTTAAAATCATTGTGTCTCTTTGTCTTGATTGTTTGATTGGGATTGTTATATTCTGCTTAAATTTGATACATAATCACAAATCAACATCTAGGGGATTTCTAAATTTTTCAATATAAAATGAAAAATAATGATTAAGCTGATGCAAGAAAACCTTAAAAAAATGTTTTCTCCGCCCATCGGCCTTCTATCCTTCTTATATTTTGTGGTACTCTCTTCTGATTATCATTATTCTGTTATAGACTAATAGTAGTAATAACTTAAAAGATTAAAAAAATTTATTATCAACCACAATTAGGAATCTTTTGTTAACCCACATGACAAGTGAGGTGTCATCTGTTGGCCCATTCATTGAAAACGATCGTTTAACATTTGCTGATAGCAAAAGTTATCGAACAAATTAAGGGTTTGACATCAAATCCTCATATGTTTTTCTTTGCTTTAGATTATTTCAATTTGCAGAATCTTCCTCATTAAATCAATTCCTCTGGAGGCTCCACATTTGATATTATGAAAATAATAGTATTCATTAGTTGCAAGATTGTACATGATTGGAGTGAGGACCTTGACTTGCTAATAATAATGTCTTTTACAAGTAACAACCTTCTCAAAAAAAAATACGCTGCTTACCAACAAACTAGTATTTGGTGGAATTTCAACACCACTTGAATTAAATCAGGTTTTGCTTATCCATTTAGCTATTCCATATACAATTTTTTTAAAAATAAATAAATATATTCGCACCCTACATCTCAATTATTAGCAATGTTAACAAAGTGGAGTTTCACATCTTAAGTAGTAACCAACCTTCCCACATTAGCAGCAAAAAAATAAAAATAAAAATAACACACAAAAAGATAATGGTCCAATATTAGAGAATCTCCACCAACCCTGTCAAAATATTTCACCATAAGAGCTCTTCATTGATCAAATTCTGAAATATTATATAATTTTCAGCTGTTTTGTTTCAAGCACTGCTGGCTTGCTCTAGGATGCAAATCCACAGACAGTGGGGTTGTCCTCCAGAACAGTAATGCAACGAGCACAGGCGGGGAAAAAAATAACAGAAAAGTGTACAAAAAATTCATGTGTGGTCCAGATTCAGTCTGGAATTGGTAAGAGACCGCAATCAGAATGATCTAAGCCGCACATTGACTTTTCTGTGTACTTTTCTTTGTACACAACATTACTACCTTCAGAAACTTGAAACTAAACAATCCTGCTATTGCTTATTAATACATGCATAAATCAAACAAACTTAACTCTACATTTTCTTCTCAAAAAAAGGCATTGCACGTAGAGATTTTATAGGGGTTGTCCCAGGATAATCGTTCCTGATACTTTCTGAAGGAGACATTGGTAACCCAGGCATCACTACTTATAGGAGTTGAATGGTCAACAAGTGCTTAATATCATATGCATCTGTTCTCCATTTATCCTGAAATCCATTCAAAGCTCTTGAAGGACTAGAAACCAATTGAACTGGACCAACATTAGAACAATGGGCAGGGTCCACAGCTGAATTGGAAGGACATTTATCTGTGCCCTTATTTGCTCCATATTCATCCAAGCAAAATCCACCCCCCATTTGAAGGTAATCTTCAGACAATTCTGCCTCCAAAGAAAAATCACACCATTTGGACCAAAACTTAGTTGACGACCTGTTTCAAGTTCTGGTTCAGCACCATCCACCTGCCATTTTAAGGTAGTCCCCACTTGAGCGCTCCTCAAACAAAGAATCTCCAATTTTGTGCTGTTTCTTTTCACCAGGACCAGCACCAACAAACATGTCCAACTAAGCCATGATCCTCAGAGGGCTCATCTTGCACTGCCTCTTAATCACTGCAGTTTTCTTCATCTTCGTCTGCTTTTGACCGGTTCATCAATTTCCAAGTCATCCTAAGTGTATTTCACAGCCTTTCGAGTTCAAGTTGACTGGGAGAGTCATACAAGAGAATAGTTGGTAAATCAAACAAATGAGAAAAAGAAAATTGGGGAAAATGATAAAAGAATGAATTATACACAGTTGTCCCGTAAAAGAGAAGTTTTATGGACAGCCAATCTAAATGTGACACATTAGAAAATTTCAGAAACATTGGGCCACACGATAAAATTTTCAGCCTGTTCTATTTTGTGTTTTTACCTTTCTTTCCATTCCACAGATGTCATGGCTGCCACCACCCATAATTGCAAACAACACCAGCCATCGTTGATGCACAAACTCGATTCTTATTGAAAATGGCAGCAACAAAACTAAAAATAACCTAAACACTGCCCAAAACACTAAAGCATTTTCCAAAAACCCAACACAAATTCCTATTTAATTATTTTTGAACTGGATTCCCTATTTGAAAAAAACCACAAGCATAACCAAATCACACGCTTGAATTCAAACATTGTCACACAAAATTTTCACCAAATCACTCACTTGAATCTGACTTATTTTCTTGAAACTGTGACGGCAATGATGGGTTCAATTGGAAGAGACGGCCATGAGTCTACTTTTTTTTTTGGCAATTTTTAATTGGCTAACCGTAAAATTGGTGTTATACAGTGTGTTCTTGCAGAATATAACCTCAAATGATTAAAGAAAAAATGGATTACTATACGTTACTTTGAGTGTGCAAATGCTAACCTAGGCATACATGGATTATTGTAGTGCAGACAAGAAAGTTGAATCTGAAAAAGCCACAATCAGAGATGATCATCATGCATCATGGTGTTGTGTGTTCAAAAACCCTTTATTATCCCAACAAGGAGTGCCCTTACAAAGGGCCATTATTATAAGCTGATCATACCCCATATAATAATTGCCAACAGCCCACCAAAGTTGATTATAATAATCACAAAGAACTGAATAAAGGCCAAATAGAACAGAGACAAACCAATTTAACTTATCATTTGTAAATCTAATTATTAATAATTGTCAGTTTAATTAACTCAAACTAAAATATGATTTGAGATCTCTTTTACTCTATACATCTCCCTCTACATGTGGTATAGATATGTAAATGCAACAGGAAATTACCTTCCGACGACCTTAGCTGGGGTTTGGAAGTAGCAATCAATCATGTACTGCTTATTGCTTTCGTAATTGCATCCGCTGGACACTACCAACCGGTTCACCCGGCACCAGACCGGGTTTAGCCAAGCCGCACCAGGAGCCAACCATCCAGGGAATGAGAGAGATCGGAAGTGATTGGTCCATGATTATTATGAGGAGGATCAAAATTCTATAAATTTTGTAATTTTGAATTTGAACATCTCCTTAATCTCTGAGATTTAATGAGCTGTTTGGTGTGCAATTTATCACAAGAAATAATTAAAAAATCAAAATCAAAACCACTTGTCCACATACTCACATTAAAATTTAAAAAAAAAATAATTTCATAAGCAGTTTATATAAAGTTGTCTGAATATATTATTAGTCTCTACATTTATTTTTTTTAGCCAAGCCTGATATTATGTATTTTATTAAATTATGATCTAATTCCAAAACATCAACACAAAAGTCCACATGTGTTTGGCAAATCAAATTAGCATTCTTAGAATCAAATCATTTGCATTGTGTACAACCCCTATTTGGATTGGCCTAAGATTATAACAAAAAATTGGTAAAATCCTATTAATTTTGAAATTTAATTAATTAGTCCTAATCTCTCATTAATTATTCATTTTGTATACCACATTTCTTTTGGAATTCGATAATATAACCATATGAAAGATACTATATCTTAATGAACTATTAATCTACACTCCAACTTTCTTTGCTAATTGTAAAATTATGTATTTTATTAAATTAATAATCAAATTCCAAAAGTCACATTCCCAAACAAACAAGATTACAATTCTTTACAATAATCACCCTTGCAATAATCTTGCAATGCTAAATTATATCTAATAGAAATACCACTGTCTAAACTTTGGGTACAAAAAATCTCTATTGTGCACATGAGCAAGTAACACTTTTCAAGCAATGGCATACCTAGAAAAAAAATTTGAAAAATGTTAAGGTTGAAATGCATATAATATTCATTTTAAGTATGATGCATGCGATACCAAGTTTGAAACTATGCTATAGATTCAAATTATCAATACTTTTCTTAGTATTTTGCTAGGTACCCAGCGTTTCTCATTTTCAAATGCTTGAGGGATCGTGAAATTTACCAGTCACAAAATTTCCCTCTTCAACTTTTCCATGACCATTATTATGGTTACAACCTTGTTCTATCTCTCTAGCCCAACACAATTTTGGAGAAGAGGGGTGTTTGGGGCAGATGATTCCCATGTTGCACAGACATTGTCCTCTTTAGCTTGTCCCCACATCATAGTGTAGAATCCAAAGCCAATTATGGTTCCTCCAATAACACTGCATAACACCTCAAATTTACATCATAAGAAGTATGCCCAAAGTCACTTCCACAACAACGAAAAAAATCCTCTGTACACATTCATTGCTGGGAATAAAAAATATGGCTATGATGATATACATATACCTGCCAAATTAAAGTGCATTGCTGAGGAAGATGAGCTCAAAAACCACTGCAATCACCATTATTGTGGGCTTGAACATGGCTACAAAAACGGGACCCTTCTTGTGCCGGCACCATGTCAGAGCAGTTTTTTGGAACACAGTCCCATGTATTGCCTGCAATAAATAAGTGATGACAAGTTAATTAAGAATAATCAACTAAAGCGATATGCACTTAAATTTTGAAATATGTGTCAATGTTTAGTTCAGTTCGTATAGGTAAAAAAAACTTAATCAGTTTTTTGTTTGCAAGAATGTTTGGAAGGGGATAATTTTGGCTTCGGCTTTTAAATTATCAGTTTTTAGCTTATCAAAAGCTGCACCAAAGCAATGCACATTCAGAGGCATGTTGTGGTAGAAGAACACAGTTAGGCTTTCCAAACCATGTCCAACGCAACTAAAACACAAGCTATATGTTCATAATCTTCTTACTGAAAATACAAAAGCAATCATCTCAATGCCAGGTTGTAGTATCCAAGCAGTTGGATTTGTTACAACCGATGAGAGAGAAAATTGCACACTGGACAGTGCCAAAGAAGCAGTAGAAAAAGACTACGGTGATTTGATCCGGGCACTCTTCAACATTTGTTGTCTGCAATTAGAAATCAACAACAGTTTCGTTTAAAGAAAGTTTTAACCATACTGACTAAACATTGGGGGTGTTTCACAAGTTAGGTTTTGGTTAAAATAGTTAATAAAGACAAAATAAGTTAAAATAGTTAATAAGATAAAATATCATATTCAAATCATAATCATTTTATTTTTTCTTTCACAATATCAAATCAATTGCAAAAAAAAAACTATCATTCCAAACACAACATTTTAAGCCAAGCTAAAACGGCGAAAAAGCGCCAAGTTCCCAAACCAACCCATTGGAAGATTTTTTTTCAAGGGAAAATATTAGATAAATGGGAAACGAGGAAAATAATCACAAGTGAGAACTATGTCATTTTGCACAATTCTGTAGAGCATCTCATAAAGTAATTTTTTGGTGGTTTTTACCTGAGCAATGTTCCATATGGAAGACGAAATGCAAGAGACCCCAAGGAAAAACCCTCCAAGGACCCAGTTTGGTTGTTGTTGTGACAGTAGAAGCCGATGAGGTAAATTAGAAGGTGAGGAGGCCATCAGCAGTGGGGGCTTTTATAAAGAGTCATCACAAATGGTCCTGACACTGCCATAATGATCCCCACGGATTTTGCTTGACTACTTGGTCTTCTAAAATCAAATTTCTCCATCCTAAAAATTGTAGAAGTTAAATGAAAAATCAAAACATACTTGAGAACTATATATGTTGAGAGAGAGAGATTGCAAGATTTATTTATTTATTTTTAATTTTTTTTTTTTAAATGAATACAAGAATGAGGGGTTTCATGTTATTTGACAACTTCTTGCAACTTCATATTTAGAATGCCAACACACGTACCAATTCTATATACATGCATGAAAGATTTCAGAAGTGTACAGGGAGCAAATATTCCGCAGAGACCACACTCCTTTCTACCAAGTTTTTTGTCCGTCCGATCGACCTGCGAACACAACGGCGATGAGCAACCCGGCGGTGTGTGGCCGAAAAATCCCTCTGACGGTCAAGTTAGCACACACTCAAAGATAGAGAGAGAGAGAGGAGAGACTTGAATGTATAGATTTATCTCACCAAGTTATGTTTCATCCCCAGCATGGGGGATCTGCTCCCATTAGTCTCTTGACACGTGGTGCTGCTCTCCCATCTGTCAGCACAAATCCTGCAATCACCACCTAACCAAACCGTCAGGCCATATTAGCGGAACCCGGCAGACCGGCGGAACCACCTCGGCCTTTCACGACCGCGCTGCGCAGCGTACCCGAGTGCTCCACTCGCCGAGCTCCAGAACGACTGAGCTCGGTTGCATTCCGGCAAAGCCGAGTTCAAGATAGGTCGAGCTAGCAAACCAAAGGCCTTCCTGCCGCGCTAAACGCATGAACCGTGGAATCTAGAATGGCAGGCAATCAACCGAGCAATCAACTCAAGTAGCTCAGTATTCTACATAGACAAGCCCAAGTAGCTCGGTCCCAACATGGTCCTGGGCCTCTACTAAGCAAAACCTTATCTGGACGAACCCAAATCTATCACGGCCCAAACATGTTCGGCCCCACATTTTGCCCGGCCTTTACCATGGCCCATTCCAGCTCATAAATCTTCCTCTCAAGAAGAGATTTGAAAAGAAAAAGAAAAAAGATAAGTTAAATATAAATAAAATATACTTACATTATATTTCTTTTCCTCTCCAAATCTCTAAACCAAACACAATGATACCCCAAGTGATGACCAACCACCATGGTGTTGCGTGTTCAAACACTTTATTATCCCAAGAAAGAACCCGGGAAGACGTGGGGCTCTCTGGCTATGGAAGATGTGGATGAGAGAAGGCGTTTGGAGACAAAGAGGAGGTATAACACTGATGCTGAGGATCGGACAGCCAGCATAAATAGTATCTTAGTCCCACCCAAAAAAAAATCATAAATTTTGTAAGCTAAAATTTGAGACTACAGAAAAAAAGAAAACCTGAGATAAGAAGGAGAATTTTTTTAAAAATAATAATAATAAAAATTCGATGAAAAGAGTTGAAGTAATTCACATTAAATCAAGTTATTTACTTAAATTTGAAATTAAATTAAATAAATAATAATAATAATAACAAAAGGTTAGAGATGATCTTAAAATTTCATTTTTGTTATTTTTGACAAAATTCTGTAAGTTTGCAAGTCTCTTGAGAGATTCAATAGTTTCTCTGCATGGAACATATCATAAGTATACTACATTCTTCTAAACCAAACATAAAATTATGTATTTTATTGGATTATTAATCCAATTCCAATATTATGTCCCAGTCACAAACTTTATTGTGGTTACAAACTTGTTCTATTTCTCTTGCCCAACATTATTTTGGAGGAGAGGGGTGTTTGGGGTGGATGATTCCAATGTTATACAGACATTGTCCTCCTCTTTAGCTTTTCCCCACATCATAGTGTAGAATCCAAATGCAATTATGGTTCCTCCAATAACGCTGCATAACACACCAAATTTACAATCATAACAAAGTATGCTCAAAGTCACTTTTCGCAACAAGAACAAAACTCTGCATACACTGTAACATTGCTGAGATTAAGAAACAAGACTAAGATGATATATATACCTGCCAAGATACAGTGCATCTCCAAGGAATATGAGCCCAAAGACCACTGCAATAACCATTTGGGTGGGCTTGAACATGGCTACATAAACGGGACCCTTCTTGTGTAGGCACCATGTCAGAGCAACACTTCGGAACACAGTACTATGTATTGCCTGAAATGGAGCCGACAAGTGATGACAAGTTAATGAATAAAAATCAATTGATTGTCTTGTGGACAAAATCTATGGAGTGCCTCACTGATCATGAAAGGCCAAAGCCAAATGCGTTTAATTTTTGGAATCTGCTTCAAAAGTGTTTAGTGCAGTTCCTTTGTACAAGCAACAATGAAAATCAGCTTTCAGCTTGCCGGAGAGTTTGGAAACGGATAATTTTGGCTTCTGACCAAAGCAATGCGATTTCAGAGGAATATTGTGGTAAAACAAGGTCAGGATTTGCAAAACATGTCCAAGGCAGCTAAAACACAAGCTACTTGTTCATAGTATTCTTACTGAAAACACAACAGCAATCATCTCAATGCCAGGTTGCAGTGTCCAAGCAGTTGGGTTTCTTTCAGCGATAAGAGTGAAAATTGCACACTGGATGGAGCCAAAGAAACAGTAGAAAAAGACTACAGTCATTTCATCTGGGTACTCTTTAACAGTTGCTGCCTGCAATTATAAATCAACATCAACTTACTTTAGAGGAAAGTTTTAACCATACTAACTAAACATTTGGGGATTTTTTTCGAGGGAAAATATCAAATAAATGGAAAATAGGAAAAATAATTGCAAGTGAGTGCAAATGAGAAGTGTCATTTTTGCTTGGTTTTGTAGATTCTCAGTAAAGTAACTTTTGGGTGGTTTTTACCTGAGCAATGCTCCATATGGAAGTCACAAAGCAAGCGGTTCCAAGGACAAGCCCTCCAAGGACCCAATTTGATTGTTGTTGTGACAAAAGAAGCCGATGATGTAAATTAGAAGCTGAGGTGGTTATCAGGGGGCCTCTATAAAGAATCATCACGAAAGCTCCTGACACTGCCACAATGGTTCCCACGGATTTCGCTTGACTGCTGGGCCTTCTCAAATCAAATTTCTCCATCCTAAGAAATTGTAAAAATTATTCTAAAAATTGAAATATGCTTGAGAAAAACCTAAATATGTCGAGAGAGAGAGAGAGAGAGATTGCAAGAATGGTTTTTAAATTCCAGAAAACAAAAAAGGGGGTTCAGATTCTAGTATTTGTCAAACATTTTAAACATAACCTCAAAAGAGCTAAAATTAGACAGATATGCGTTCACATTAACCAACAGATGATATGGTAATCGAAATCATTTTCCTAACAACATTTGAAAATGCATAACAATCAAATTAACTTGATTCGAGTAGGTCCATTAATTAGACCTGAAAATGATGGCAAGCAAGAATGTAAAAGCCGGCAACAGGTTACCCATAGCGGATGCTAGAGTTGGGGAGCTATAATTGATTCCAGTGTATCCACATATCTGCGCCAAACAAATCCTACAGCAGAAAGAAACCAATTCATCAGTTGTTGAAAATCATCATCTAGTATAAAATCTGATACATGAATCATATATATATATAGACAGTGTTACCCAAGTAGACCAAGGAGTGAGAATCGGCAAAGGAGAGAGAAACTGAGCGGAGGCTGCTGGCTTCTGCTGAAAAGTTTGACATTTTCAATGGATTTGTTTGCTGTAAGAGAATCAGAAACTAGAATATTAGAGAAATAGAAACAACAAACCTGAGCCTGTGAAAGATGAAAAAAGGGAGAAGAATGAGAGTGCCCAGAGCATTATAGTACACGACGAAAACCAAGTTGTTCATCCCAATATTCAAAGCTGCTTTGCCTAGTGTCATAGCACACACATCTCCACACTCCAACATTATCATCACTGCAAAGGGCAATGCATTCTTCATACAAAATTGCAGCCTCATCTTCTCTCTCCACGGTTGCAATAAGTTGAGAAACAGAGGAACGACTACTCTTACTTCCACTATACTCGCTAGGCTATGTATAATATATATATATATATATAAAACTAAAACTAAAACTAAAAGTAAAAGAAAAAGTAAGGGTATGGGTATCTCTAACCGCTAGGTATATAATGCTTGTGAGTTAAAATATTTAATATGATTTATTTTTTTTTAATTTTAATGTACTAGACATATGATTAAGTATTTTAGCTTAATTCATATTTATTAGTTACTTGTATCTAGCTTTCAAAGTTAGGCAAAATATATTTAATCATTAAGATTATTTCTCTCCATCTTTGTTGCTGATGTGACATTCTATAAAATTAATAGTATTTGAATAAATAGCTAAAATACAGAGCATGATTGGAATAGAAACATGAAACAGTTAATAAATAAAACAAAATGTATACTTTATAGTAATATTAAGATAGATAAAATGTCTATTACTGTTAGAAATGTTCTAACGAATCAACGGAGGGAGGCATTTTTTTTTTTTACACATAATATTAAAAATTTTAAAAAATTTATTAAAAGTTTCGACAAATATCTTATGGGGATGTGAAATTTAGGCTATGTAAATTTCATATAGATCTTATGAATTTTACACTTATATAATATTTGATAAAATTTGGAAGTTTTTTAATATTTTTATTATACTATCGTCCATTTTTTTAGATTGGATTATATTATTGTCCTCGAGCTGACAGCAATTGATGCGGTTATGATTTTGACATATTTAAATATTAAATATGCCCTACAACTTGAAAGATTAAAAAATATCTAATCAACAATAATAATGAATCTTTTCGTCAACCCTGCAAGACGGCCTATTTTGCCCACTGGATTAACATTTTTTGATTTTTTTTAATCATATTTTTTATTTTTATTTTTCTCCGGTTCTTCAAAAAAATATTAAAAAAATTAAGAAGTTAATTTTTAATCTAATTCTTAAAATAGATCAAAAATTTATTAATTAATCTTGAGACTTTACATTGTCATACCTTATACCAATTATAATTCATCATATTTTTTATATTTTTTAATTATTTAACATAAATTTATAAATTTTATTTTTTTCGTCAATCACCGCACAATTAAAATAGGATGTAACAGACATTTCCTGCCCGACGGTTGAGGTGTCATCTGTCAGTCAAGTCACCGAAAATGATGGGTAACATTTTGCTAATATAAAAACAAAGATAATTATTACAAAATGACAGACTGCGTGAGGATGGCAATCTGAACAAATGAAGTCTAATATGCACCACGTAACATTTTGCTTATCCATAATCTTTGAGAGCCCGAAATTAAGGGTTTAAATTTGTCTCAAAATTTAAAATGATGTTGTTTTGGGTTTTTGAGAGGGTAATTTTTGGTAAAAATTGGGCCGAGTTATGAGATGGGTTTTGTGGCCCAAAGTGCCAAAAACTTGGTGAAAATGCCGCAATGTTACTCCGGCCCAGGGAAGGCCGCAGTGTTACTCTGGCCCAGGAGAGGCAAGGCTACTCCGGCCTAAGAGAGACAAAGTTACTTCGGCACAGTGACTGTAAAAGATACTTTGGTCCGAAAGCAACTTGGAGTTATACCGGTATTGGGGTTAGACCGGCCGAAAGTCGTTAGTTCGGTCCAAGACCGTACCATGGGTTCTACATGGAAAGCTGAGATAAGAAAGGGAAAACACAAGGACCGAACTAAGGATGAGTTCGGTTTATTCAGTGGCTCTGCATAGCCAAGCTTATTTCGGTCATATAGTAGTTCGGCCAAAGTAAAAACCATCCCACTTGGTTTAAGCAGTGGCATTAAGGTCTTTGTCCGGTGTGTATTTAATTATCTTCTCTCGGCGGCGATGAATCCTAAGGTAATTTTGATGTTTATGTGTTTTCATAAATTGATAGCTATTATGCGAACTTATAAAAGCTCACAAACATCACCTTGGAGGAGGTAATTGAACACAATTTTTTCTGAGAACATAGAGCTTTGTCTATTTGTCAAGTTTTCTGACTTAGGCATCGGAGAGGTTTCCGGCACACACCCGCCGGCTAGCTCACGTTTTTGTTTTCAGGTGACAAAGCGACGTCGTACGGAGGAGCGTGGACTTGGTCAACAGGATTATACGAGGAGAATTATTTCCTCCCCGTACAATTGGCGCCGTCTGTGGGAACAAATGAAGTCTAATATGCACCACGTAACATTTTGCTTATGCATAATCTTTGAGAGCCCGAAATTAGGGGTTTAAATTTGTCTCAAAATCTAAAATGATGTTGTTTTGGGTTTTGATTTTTTTTTTTTCTTTTTCTTTTCTTCCTTTTCTTCCTTTTCTTTCTTCTTCGTTGAGTTGAACAGAGGCGAGAGCGAAAACGCAGGTTGTCGTCGTCGCAGCTCGTCGGCGTCCCAGCTCGTCGGCCGATCTCGCAGCTCGTCCCTCGTCGCTCGTCAGCATCGCAGCCCCGCCTCCACCTCTGCCTCCGCCCGCCGCCGCCGCCTCCGTCTCCACCTCCGCCTCTGCTTCCGCCTCCGCCTCCGCCTCTGCCTGATTTTGTTGGCCCCTCCAGTCGAGTTCTTCTTCTCTTTTTTCTCCTCCCCCTCCTCCTCCTCCTTCTTCTTCCCCCTAATTTCGAGCCATATTCGGGCTCTGTAGCATTACTGTTTGCTTATAACCCTAAATAAATGAAGAAAAATTAGAGTAATTTATAAATTTATTTAAAATATAAATTATTTTTTATATCATCTTTAATGGTTGTTGCCATAATACCATTGCTATTGCTATAATTTAGTAATGAATAGTGTTATTTTGCCAAATTATAACAATGGTCACTTGCTATTTTGACAATTCTCAACCAACTTTTCTTCTAAGTTTGTAGATGTTGTTTGAATATATATTTTTTTGTAATTTTATTTTTGTTTATTTTTTGTCTTTTGTGACCTTTTTTAAACTATTTGTAAAAAAAATTATATATTTATATTATTCCCGACTAGACAAATATAAAAAATTAAAAAAATTAAAAATTAGAAAGAAAAAAAATATATAATTCACCCCACCAAAAAATTGATTTTGAAATTGTGAAATTTATTGTGAAATTGTGAATTTTTTTGTGAAATTTGTGAATTTGGCTGTATATTCAAATTTCGGTTTGATTTGGAAATTGGGAATTGATTCTAAAAATTACTTAGTTTTCTACTGTTTCAATTCTGTTTTTTCGACTGAATTTGAAGTTACAAATCTGTTCATATTTGCTGATATGGCATATTTGGCAATTGCTATTCTACTTGCCAAATTTGAGAACATAAATGGCATATGCCATCTTTGGCAAGTAAAATAGCAAGCCATTGGAGACCCACTTTTTGTCACTATTGACAAATTATTAGGGCTGAGCAAGTGATCCGTGAAATCCGTAATCCGATCCAGTCCAGTCCAATCCGATAGGTTTGGATTGGTTTTTTGAATCCGCGGTTCGGTTCCGGATGGAAGAATTAAAAATCCGTAGTCTACGGATTGGTTCCGGATTGAATCCCACGGTTCCGGATTGGAACCGATCCGAACCGTATACAAATAGTCTATATTTTTATTATACATCCTCCCCCATTGTATCTTCTCTTAATTCTATATAAAATCTAAACTTAAACCTAAAACCATATAATATTTTCTTTTATTACTCTTGTTTGTTGGTTTTTAGTTTTAATTTATAATGGTTTAAATACTTATAGTGAAACCAATTTTTCTTATGGTTGTTTAAATTTTAGAACAGTATGTCGCTATTATAGAAAAATATGTTGCTATTGTGAAACTAATATAGCGCTATGTTTATATTTTTATAAAATTAAAGTGTTATAAATATATTTTTGTTATTTAATTATGTGAATCCGTGGTCCTAAACCGATCCAATCCGTATTTAAATGGATTGGTTCGGATTGGTTCCATGATTTAAACGGATTGGATTGGTTCCAATTTTTTAGGAACCGTAGATAACGGATTGGTCCTGGTTTTATCCTAATCCAGTCCAATCCGGACCATGCTCACCCCTACAAATTATAGCTTTGGCAAGTATTTTGAAAGCTCCATTAGAGATGCTCTTTATGATTTAAAAAATTATAAATACTTTCTTATCAGAATTTTTTATTTAACAAAATTAACTGAAAAAATAAATTTTCTAAATGTTCTCTTATATAATAATAAAATTATCTGAATTATTAATTGAAATAAAATTTTAACATCATTAAAAACTACTAATTAACTTGATAATTTATTAATAAAAAGACTTGTTTGTTATGAAATTAAAAATCTTAAGAAACATAATTTCCAAAATTATAGAGATGATTTGTAGTTTAAATAAACCTTAGAAGATGTGTTTGAAATTCACCCAAGAAATTATTATCAAATCCTTCGTAACAAAATGGAAACAATTAATGCTGCCCTAGATTAATTAACTTGTATCTCTGTTAAATCATGATTTATTTATCCATTTACCAACTCCATATCCAAAACAAAAAACGTATCCTGCTGCCCTAGATCTCAATTATTAGCAAATTTTAATAAAGTGGAGGTCCACATCTCAAGTAGCGACTTCAACATTTTCATGAGCAAATGCCAGTAGTGCAGTGAAAAGCACCAACAAGTTAAAATCAGCCAGCTCATCCGCCCGTGGTGGAGATCCTGAATTCCCTTCCCCACTACCCCGACCAAAAAAATAAACGATTCCCACAATGCTACAAATTGAAACACAAAAAAAGATAATGGTCCAATATCAGAGAACCTCCACAGACCCTGGCAAAAAAAAAATTTTTTTTTTTTAGGACGAGCTCTTCATTGAACAAATTCTGACATCTTATACAAATTTCAGCTGTTTGGTTTTAGGTAATGCTGGCTTGCTCTAAGACACAAATCCACAGGAGCATAGGGGGGTTATCCTTCAAAATTGCTTTTAAATACATGCATACCTATTCAATTATGGCCCTAGAAAGAAAAAAGGGAGGGAAGACAGAAGAAATGAGATACACAGCCCCATTTCACCCCCTCCCTCCCCCCCCCCCCCTCTCAACAACAAAAAAAAGGTTCCAAAAATCAAACAACCTCAACTCTTCCTTCGCTTTCTTCTCAAGTAAGGCATGGCGCTTAGATATTTTACAGAGGCTGTCCCAGAATCATCTTTTCTGGTACTTTCTGAAGGAGACATTGCTAACCTTGAATGAACATCACTAGTTACAGGAGTTGAATGTTCAACATTCTGATTGCTATCATATGCATCTGTCCTCCTTCTATCCTCAACTCCATCTAAAGCTCTTGAAGGACTGGAAACCAATTGAACTGGACCAAAATCAGGGTCAGCTTCTACCACAACATTAGAACAAAGAGCAGGTTCAGCATTGTCAGAGATGGAAGCCCCAACTGATTTGGAAGGACGTTTATCTGTGCCCATATTTGTTTCATCTTCATCCAAGCAAAATCCACCCCCCATTTTAAGGTACTCTTCAGACAATTCTGCCCCAAAAGATGGATTGTCTTTCTGATCTAAACTTAGTTGACCTGTTTCAAGTTCTGGTTCAGCTTCATCCATGCAGAATCCACCAGCCATTTCAAGGTAGTCCCCACCTGATCGCTCCTCAAATGAAGAATCCCTACCTTTAAGCTGGATCTTTTCACCAGATCCAGCACCATCATCTCCAACTAAGCCATGATCCTCAGAAGGCTCTTCTTGCACTGTCTCTTCATCACCGGAGTTTACCTCTTCTTGGTCTGCTTTACCCGGCTCATCAATTTCCAAGTCATCCAAAGTGTATTTCACAGCCTTTCGAGTTCGAGTTGACTGCGAGAATTAAACAGAAGAATATTGGTAAATCAAATGAATGGCAAAAGGAAAATAGGGGGAAATGATAAAAATGGATTCATATATGTTACTCTCAACGTAGAATGTTAATTTACGCACACATGCATTGTAGTGCAGACACCAGAGTTCAATCTGGAAAACCACACTAGTGATAACCATGGTGTTCGTGTTCAAACCTTTTAGTGTCCCAAGACTCCCAACAAGGAATGCTGTGAGAAATGGCATGTTAAGCTGATCCTACTAATATAAACAATCACATTTTTGTGAAGAACTTTATAATTGTCACTATGACAGCAACTCAATGCAGGTTTGCCAAAAGCCCACCTTAGGGTTGGTTTGAGGTATCCTAAAAAAGTGTACTTTTTGTCTTTTTACGAAAAGATGTGTAGAAAAGTAGAGAGGTAATGTGATGGAAAAAAGATAAAAAGATGAATTATATAGGTTATGCCAAACTAGGCCTTAATTCTAATATTCACAAAGAACTGGATGAAGGGCACATGCGGCAAGCCAAGTCAAAACGAGTTTCCAACCCATCACTGAGATTGTTTGTCGTTTGTGTCCTTGTCACTATGACATTGTTTTTATGTACCCCATGTCTCAACATTTAAAACCAAGGGGGTTCATTAAGAAGCCCAACATGCTTATCCCAGTTCCTAAATGAAAACTGGTAGCCCAGCTTCATTGATTCCCTTTATTGATATGCATTTACCTGTATGTATGGAATAAATGTATGTGTGTGTGTGTGTATATAGCTCTCCAACAAACTGGAAGTTCGGATGGAATGACTAGGCAAGCTGAACCAGCTTTGAATGACCCAAAACTGAAGCAAGTGTGCCTAGAAAGTAGAAAGCTTTGTTAGTTCTGGTCAATTTGAGTTTCAAGTTACACTACCCTGTAGAAGCACCCAATCAAGTCTTCCCGTAACTCAGGTCATTCTACATTATATAAACAACAGTGATATCACCCCAAAAAATTAACACAAAAATAAAAAGACAGGGAACAACAAAATCTACCTTCCTTACTCCATGTGGTCCTTCTAAATTTTCAACTTGAATTTCCAGTTCATAATCACTATTGCTTCCATCATTAGAACTGCTTTCAGCATATGCACGACCAGGGTTTTTCTTTCCCCTACTTCTTCCCACAGCTCGGCCTCCTCCTCTTGCACTCAAACCCTGACTGCTACTTTTCCCACCTTCCTGCATCAGTGGTCCTGGATTCCTTGCTTCAGATGGTACAGGTTCTACATGTTTCCTTTTTCTTGACCACTTGGCAGTTGATGTTTGTGCTTTGTTGCCTTTGCTGCTATTGATATAAGCCTCTGCTCCACTTAAAGGTTTTTCTGACTTGTCCTCCCTATGTTCACTGGGGCTCACTCTTCTTTTCTTTCTACTCTTGGAAGCTTCTTGCACATCATCCATTAGCTTCGAGGACAGGCTCCCTGTTATTCCTCTAACAGCTTTTTTAATCCTCTTACTGCGGATTTTTGCAAATCTCTCATTGAAAGTGTAAAATGCTTCCAACCGCAGTTGAGTCTTAATCAAGCACATGAAACAAGTCAGAAGATACCAGTATCAGCTAAATAAAGGGAGAAAAAGAGAAGATTGTTTGGTGATAAACATCTCAATACTCATGAAACAATTCTAAAAAGTGTGGACACTTCTAATACACTTGTCAAACATTTGTTGGCACGTGTTTGGCACACATCCAAACATGTCATTGTTTTTAAAAGTTAATTAAAAACCAGACACCCTTTGGACACTTAGGAAAATTACAATAACACATTGAGATGGATTAAACGATAAAATAAAATCAATTAAATATGTAGTTTATCCCTCAACCTTTAAATTATTATCTTTTAAATTGTAGGAATTTTAAAGCCAAAAGTTCGAATTTGTTTATAAATAGAGTTTTCTAAAATAGTTTTTTGGACTTTTGTTCACGCTTCTTTTCCAATATGTAGAATGTGAAAAAGAATTTCCCTTCTATGCTCCTCTGTTGCTAATTATAATGCAAACATTATCGATGTATTCAATTATAATATACCTTGGTATAAAAATATACAATTCATGTGATATATGTAAATATATTTCTAAAATGAAGAAATAGTCATTAATACATATTTAATTGTTGAGTTTTGCTACATCACCCCTAATTACACTTCTAATGAGGTGGCAAACAATTTTGAAAGGGGAGAGAAGAGTTTGAAGAAAGTTAATTGGTTGGTATTGTTTGCCACCTCATTAGAGGTGCAATTGGGGGTGATAAAATGGGAGATGGGGCATTTCTCTTTATTTGTTATCATTTTCCTACAGTGTCATTTCTAGAATTTTTTTAAAACTTGTTGTCTCAGTGTGTTTCGTAATGTGTCACATCTGTGTCCATGCTTCTTAGTGAACCATACCATATAAATTTTGAACTAGAAAGTGTATTGCTATAAGATCAGGGGGAAAAAATGATGTCTCCCACATCAATTGTGTGGTCCATCCAAGTGGACCTTGTTAGTCTCTAATACTCTATCACCCATCCAAAAATCACTTCCTGTTAGTGCATGGTGTGTCGGTTTGGAGTTCATTCGCTCTCGGTGTGGTTGTGTGTGCATGTAATTCTACAAAACCCACACACACTCACACACAAAAGTAGAAAACTTTTATAAAAAAATCTTAAATCCTACATAACTTGCTCCTTAAACTTTATTAGCTAAAGGCGTTAAGGTTTATGGGCTGGTTGTGTGTGAGGGTGTGTTGGTATGGGTGTGCATTTGAGAGAGAGAGAAAGAGAGAGACTAACCTCGCGTTTGTTGTACTCCTTCAGAACAGGTTGGAGCAATTCATCAGCCTTCTGTGTACTCCACCCAAACTTTTCCCAACATAATCTGTGTGAAAAGACACTTGGTAAATCCAGCATTTGATTTCTTTCGTAAAGCACTCTAGTGACTGTTTTGCTGGGAGTTGACTGGTATCAATGTAGGCAAGAGCTATTAATCAATTTTGAAAGCAATTTTTTCCTCTTAAGAGTCAGATGAATTAGTCACAGCTGAGTATGTGAATTCAGTTGTTGTAAGGTGAAGACAAGTCATAGACAGTTTTCTGCAGCTGTTTTTTTAGTGTTACTGTTAAAACCTACTGTTAAAACCTACCTGTTAAAACCTATCACCTACTTCACCCACTTAAACCTACTCCACTAAACCTAACCCACTACACCACTACCACCTCACCTACTCCACTAAACCTAACCCATATAAAAGACTCACTTGCGAAGAACAAAAAGATCTGGCTTTCCCCATGAGAAAAGCTCGGTTGACTTGTCCACTTGTGGAGAAACATATGCAGAAATTACTGCTTCATTTGGAAAAGTACAGGGAATGTGCCAGTTTTTGCTCACATTTCTCTGTATAAATAAAATTTAGTGATATTCAATGAAGAAATGACAAAAGTAAACACTAAATAGAAAAATAGAACAGCTTGACAGATGATATTACATGCTTATCCATGAAGACCTGCTTCGTGTTATCAATATAATCCATAGACTGTGAAACAGTTTGGTCAGATGCAGAGAGTCCTTCCAGATTGCTATTCGAGCAATCAACATCACTGTCACTGACTTTTGACCCTCTTTTCCTCGAACTAGATCCTGGTTTCACATCAAACGTCCCCAGAATCGTTGGATCTGGTGATTCAATCCACTCCCGGAATTTACTGAGTCCATCTTCCTCAGGAAATGCATTAACAACTTCAATAGCATTAACAATGCCAATCCCACTGCAACACAAACCCATACCAAAAACAAAATTAAAAAGAGGTCACTCATGTAAATCCCATGCTTCTGAGTAGGCTCAGACTGCTACACCTATAAAGAATAAATAGCAAAACAAATCTCAAATGAGTAGGCCAAAATAAAAAGGTTGCATAACTGCCAAACAGTTCTACAACGATAAGAAATAAATAGCAAAACAAATCCCAAATGACTAGGCCAACAGAACAAGTTCGTATAACTGCCAAACAGATGGGGACCTTGGGATGTAATTGTAAGATTTCTGAATAGTTTTCTGTATCTCATATATTCAATGTGTATCAAAGATTACAATCAGACCTAAGATTATATAGCCCTAAATCCTAAACCAAAAAGGAAAATACAAATACAATTATAATTATGCCTCTAACAAGACTCTAACACAATCATGCCTCTAATAGGACTCTAGTTTGTACAAAACACACAATAATATATTCCATATTCTCACACCCCCGCTCAAACTCAAGGTGTTTTAGCAGAAAATACTAAGAGTTTGCTACGAAGAAACTGAAACCGAGCGGTAGTGTGAGTCTTGGTGAAGAAGTCCGCAAGTTGCAAAGCCGCGATACTCAGCTTCGGCAGTAGAGCGAGCAACGACTGACTGTTACTTACTTTTCTAAGAGATCAAGGAATTTTCAAGAAACATACAGAAACCAGACGTAGACTTACGATCAGTAACATCACCGGCCCAATCAGAATCAGCATAAGCCACCAAGTCCAAAGAGGAAATAAAGGACAACAATAAGCCCTGAAAGAAAGTATCCCTGAGATAGCAAAGAACGCGAACCAAAGCAGCCCAATGGGTAGAGCGAGGAGCAAAAACGAACTGACTAACCACATGAACAACATAAACAAGATCAGGGCGAGTGACAATCAAATAAACTAAACAACCCACAAACTCGCGATATAAAGTGGGATCATCCAGAGGGACACCATCAATAGAGTTAAGCTTCACATTAAGCTCAATAGGTGTATTAGAAACCTTAGTATCAGTAAGACCAGCACGATGAATGACTTCATTAGCATACTTGGCCTGAGACAGGAAATAGCATTTGGGAGAAGAAGCAACCTTAATACCAAGAAAATACTGTAATGGACCCAGATCCTTCATTTCGAAAGTGCGGAAGAGATGTTGCTTGACCTCAGAGATAGCAGAAGAGTTCGAGCCAGTGATGATCATATCATCCACATAGAGTAAGAGAGCAACAAAACCAGATGAGGTATGTCGCAGAAATAAAGCAAAGTCGGAAGCAGAAGGATAAAACCCGAGCTCGATAAAACCCGAGCTCGGTAACAGCAGTATGAAATCGATCATACCAAGCACGAGGAGACTGCTTTAAACCATACAGAGTATGCCGAAGACGACAAACCTGACCAGAGGGATGGTGAAGGCCAGGTGGAGGACGCATGTAAACCTCCTTAGTGAGATGGCCATTAAGAAAAGCATTCTTAACATCCATCTGATAAAGAGGCCAAGAACGAACAGCAGCAACAGAGATCAAAGTACGGACAGTAGTCATTTTGGCAACAGGAGCAAATATCTTCTCATAATCAATACCATACTCTTGAGAGAAACCTTTGGCAACCAGACGAGCTTTGTAACGCTCAAGAGAACCATCAGAATGAGTCTTGACTTTGTAGACCCATTTGCAACCAACCAGGTTCTTATCAGCAGGCAAAGGAACCAACTCCCAAGTACCAATTTTTTGTAAAGCAGACAACTCATCCTCCATAGCTTGAACCCAATGAGGATCCTGACAGGCCTCCTTGTAAGACTGAGGTTCTACAAAAGAGTGAATAGCAGACAAAAAGGTACGATAGTAAGTAGAAAAACAAATATTGGACCAACCCAACATGTTGGAGGATGACGTGCTCGAGAAGGATATCGGTGTGCAGTAGGATCAGAGTCGTCAGAAGCAGAGGGAGCAGCAGCAAGGGTAGAGACAACCGGTGGAGGAGGAGCCTTACGACGAGAATAAACTAACAACGGAGGAGGAGAAGAAGCCAAAGGAAGAGAAGAAGCCGAAGAAGGAGAAGTAGCTAGAGGTATAAGAGGAGAAGATGGAACAAGCTCAGGGGGAACAATAGAGATGTACTCATCAGACGAGACCTCAGAAGAAAATGGGTCAATGTGAACCAAATCCTCTTTGGAAACTGGAACAGTGAGAGGGGGAAGCTGGGAGTAAGATAGACGTTCAAGAAAGGCAACATGACGGGAGACATAAAGACAACGGGAAATAGGGTCATAACACCGATAACATTTCTGAGTAGGACTATAACCCAAAAAAACACAAAGGACAGACCAGGCACTAAGTTTGGTCCTATCTTTGTGGGAAAGAAGAACAAAACAGGCAGACCCAAACACACGAAGGAGGGAATAGTTAGGAATTTGGGAAAACAAAGCCTCATAAGGAGACCGACCAGAAAGAAGGGGAGTAGGCATGCGGTTGAGAAGAAAAGCAGCAGTAAGAACTGCCTCCCCCCAGAATGGAGCCAGAACTGAGGCAGAGAGAAGAAGAGACCTAGCGGTCTTAAGAAGATGACGGTGTTTATGCTCGGCTCGACCATTTTGGGCAGGTGTATCTGTACAGGAAGTTTGGTGAATGCTACCCAAATTGGCCAAATACTCACAGAACTCATTTTTAAAATATTCCCCACCCAAGTCAGACCGTAACACTTTAATTGTAGACCCAAATTGAGTAGTAATCATAGACTGAAAAGTATGGTATATCTGATAGAAATCGGACTTATGAGTCATAAGATAAACCCAAGTGTAACGGGTGCAGTCATCAACAAATGACACATAGTATGCAGAACTCCCTTTGGTGAGAACAGGAGAAGGGCCCCAAACATCAGTATGAACTAAAGAAAATAGGGTATCAGATATAGAAGTACTTTTACAAAAAGGTAAGGCTATCATTTTGGCAAATTTACACTCCCGACATTCAATAAATTCACTAGGAGAAACTTTACCCAAAATACCTGACTGAGCTAAAGATCGTAAGCGGTCAGCGGACAAATGCCCTAATCGATAATGCCATTAGGAGAAAGGACTAGACAGAGAATCTAACTGAAAAGAGGAAAAGGCAGTCAAAGAGGTTGCTATAGGCAGATGCAAGCTCTCCACTATATAGAGGTCTCCAATTCTACGGCCAGTCCCAATCTGCTGCATAGACATTCGATCCTGTACAGAACAAATAGCAGAAGAAAAGATAACATCAAAACCAGCGGCATCAAGTTGACTGATAGATAATAAACTGACAGATAACTAAAGAACATAAAGGATAGATGGAATAGAGACAGCAGACATAGCAGACGGTAAGACAGACCCAACAAATACAACAAACATACCAGATCCATTAGCAGCATTGACAGTAATAGGAAAGGAAGGAAGAGTACAATTTTGAAGTAAGGAGAGATGGGGAGTCATATGATGAGAAGCACCAGAGTCAAAAATCCAAACAGACGAAGAAATACCTGAAGAAGAACCAAGCAAACCTGAATGAAGAGAGGAAACAATGGAGGCAAATGAGGATGGCTGAGAGGTAGACAATATATGCTAAAGCTGACTAATCTGAGCAGTTAAGGAAGCCAAGTTAGGATCAGGAGCTGGAGCGGATGTAGTGTACGCAGCGAGAGAAGCCCAGAATTGATTTTGAGACTGCTGAAAAGATGTGGCAGACAGACATCCCTTCTTGGGACAATGGTACTTCCAATGGCCTTTCTGATGGCAGAAAGCACACTCATCAGAAGCCAGAGACATCACAGTAATCAGAAAACTGAGAGGTTCAAGTATAATCAAACAAAATAGCCAAACCAAGAGTTTAAGTGTAATACTCAAAATTTGAGGGGGCAAAGTGTAATAACTCAAAATATAGCACAGCTGGGTCAAAGACTTGGTGGGTTGAAATTAGATATCAAACATAAAGAGAGAGATCACCGTTAAAAGACCAAAGCAAACTAGCAAACTAGCAAACTCAGAAAGAGGGAGACCACCGACTGAAGTCGAGAAGACGAGAGAGACAAATGGAAGTCGAGAGAACCAGAAGGAGAGAGGTAGACTGAGCTGTGAGGAGTCGAAGCACGGCAACCACGTCAAACAGATGGGTCGACCAGATGGGTCACCCAAGTTAACCAGAAAGAAGAGGAACCACGTCAAAGGTCGAGAGAGCAAAGAGACGAACCAGAGGTCAACTAGATGGGTCACGAGAGGAACCAGACCTAGACGTGGTAAAGAGACGAACAAACGACCCACGAAGCAAGGTGCTTCGATTGACAACCAGGTCTGTGAGAGAGATGGATCGCGAACCAGTTTGAACCAACGACGCGCGATTCTGGTGACAGAAGACAGTGATTCCGACGATTACCCAACAAAGCCCAAATCAGACGACTGGATTAGAGAGGATCTCTGACACTCTTCAACAAGCGATGTAGGGTTTCGTGACCTGCTCTGATACCATGTAAGATTTCTGAATAGCTTTTTGAATCTCATATATTCAATGTGTATCAAAGATTACAATCAGACCTTAGATTATATAGCCCTAAATCCTAAACCAAAAAGGAATATACAAATACAATTATAATTATGTCTCTAACAGGACTCTAACACAATCATGCCTCTAATAGGACTTGTTAAAATTGATGTATTATTGATTGATGTATGTTGTATATTACAAATGGTGATGGACTCCTTATATAGGAGATGTAGTGGAGTAGGTGGTAGTAGGTGGTAGTGGTAGGTGTGTAGTAGGTGGTAGTAGGTGGTGGTAGGTGTGTATGTGGAGTAGGTGATGGTAGATTTTAACAGCCCCCGCAAACTCAAGGGGGAGAGGAACTAACCAACTTGAGTTTGGAGAGAGTAACAAAACAAGAAAATAATCTGAAAAATAAAAAATGGATAGGAGACACTGTATGGTCGTGTCAGACCGTTGTAGAAGACTGTATGGTTATGGCAGACCGATGTAGAAGACACTGGCTCGTGTTGGACCGATGTAGAAGACAGTTTATGGGGTCATGTCGGACCGTTGTAGCAGACAATGTTGTGACAGTTGTTGTGACAGTTTACAGAGTCTTGCTGGACCCTCTACATTTATAAGGATCAAAAATAGCAATAGCTAAAACGTGTGTATTTAGGGATCCACTCTCCATCCAATGGTCCTTGTCTTCTCTGAAACAAAAACTGCTCAATTATTAATATTAAAAGCATAAAAACAATGGAAAGTTTGTAATACCATTGGTTCCATTTGGAAAGCAAGCATTCCCTTATGCAATGCGACCCTTGAGAACCTGAATAAAAATCCAGAAAATCAAGTGGATTTTAAGACCCCGGATATAATTAGCCATAACGAAAAGGGGAGGAAGGGGAATCTAAATTTTCAGTTTTGAAAGGTGATTAGAGAACAGGCATTTATAATTTAAAACTAAAGAATCCAAAAAGTAAAAAACTGTGATAGTAATTGGAGTATAAAACTGAACTTCGATAATTCTTTCCTGGAAGACATTTACTCCTTTCCCAAGGACATGGTAAAGGCAGCTCAAATTAACTTAAAAAACCATTACTTAATGAAGTGGTGCCAAACAACTATCCCAGGGAAGTATAAAACAAAATGTAAACATCAAACATGCTCCTTACATATAAAAACTTTCTCCAGCACAATATATAAAACTTTGATTTTAAAAATAAAATTACTTTTAAGTGATATTTGGTTGTATTTAGATTGATGGATTGTATATGAGGTTCACATCTCTATGCTCACCTCTCCCTAAGTGATCTAACCCTAATAACTTATCCTCCAATTGATTCTTATATCTGAACCTCAAATACTCCACTTCCAAATCTGTTCATCCAAACAAAAATGGCGGTAGCGTTTGGTTTACTTTTCAAAACTCAATGCTGTATTTAAATCATGATTTGGGTGCAACATGTTAACCAAACATATTTTTAAAATACAATTCAAAATTAGAACCTAATATTTTCGCTTCCCCGGCGGGCGGCAACCTCACCTTAGCCGCCCGCCGGACCTCAACCTAGTCCGTTAGAATTTTCTACACATACTCACTTGACGATCTGCGTTGATTCATGATCAGACAGTCCAATTTTGTTGCTGCCCCTTTGTTTCTGCCGCCACCGAGCTCGTCCGCTATTCATGGTGCCAGAAAGCTTTCTCATACTGTCCAATACAGATTCTTGGACAAAGCAGCAATTATAGTAGACCCAGAAGAAGCAAACACAAAGAGCCGTTGGAGACTATGCAGAGTGTCACACAAGAAGTACGCATTCTGCAACTGGTTCTTCTTCGCCATCAATATGGGTGTTCTTTTGGGGATCACCCTCCTCGTCTATTTACAGCAACAGAAGGGCTGGATTTGGGGCTTTGCTGTCCCCACTGTCGCCATGTTCTGCTCTATTCTCATCTTGGCTTGGATCGCAAGATCAGAGCACACGAAATCTACGCCGACTCCGTTGAGATCTACACCTTCGGCTATATCAAGGTCTTGTTTGGCTCTTAACATCAAGGTTTGGTTCGGCTTCATCGAGATCTACTTGCTCCATTGACTTTTGACTTCAGCCACTCCCACAATCACCTCTCATTTTTTTTAATAAAGCCACATTACACAAAACCAATGTTTTTTTTATTCATTTTATTATTATCATCATCATCATCATGTACCCCAATCTTTCTCTTTTCCAACCCATCATCCACCACCTTTTGCACATACCTATACCCTTTTTTTATTTTTAAACCAATCTTCACCTTTTGCATCCCACTCACTGAAATATCAAAACTATATCACACAACCACTGCAATGGTGCTCTTCTGCTTTTTTGGTTTTCACCAAAGTAATGGGCCAGCTGTCCACTCCCGTTGCTCCACTTTCTTTATTTATTTATTTATTTTTTTAAATAAAAAAAAAAAGATAAAAAAATAAATAAATAAATAAAGAAATAAATAAAATAAAAATAAAATAATAAAAAAAAAAAAACACAAAACACTCATCAGACAACATCATCACCTATACACATAAACATCCAAAATAAATTGATTTTGAAGATTTAGGATTTAAGAACAATGAAATCAATTGGTTTTAGGGTTTAAAAATATTGAAATCAATTGGTTTTGAATATTTGCACACCATGGATGACACTAAGATTGTTGATTTCGAATAGTGCAACAATGAAATGATCAGTTTATTCTTCTCTACTCTGCCGCCGGTCTTTTCTTCTTGCCTCCGTCCTGGGCGGCCCTTGACGGTGTTGCCTCCGTGTTTCCCACTCCACTGGGCACGATCACTCCACCCTGCTCCTCCACTACAGCATATGGCGGACCTCCAAATCGGAACATCACGGTGGCCTTCCGCTTCAACTCCTTGTTTTCCGCCTTTAGCACACTTATCTCTGTTCGCGCATCTTTATACATGCGTTGGAGCAGAGCCAGTTGGGCGTTTAACTGCTGCACCTCATTTGTCCTACTTTGAAGCCGGTGCGACAAGTTTGTGACCGCAGTCATGGTTTCCACACATGACTTCAATGTATACTGATTGGCCTCAATATCCGTTTGCACTGCCATTTTTTGCTCCACAGACCGTATCGGAAAGTTCAACGGAGCAAAACCAGAGGTGTTTGGTTGAGGTTCACGGGCCACCGCACCAGTTATCTCTCTTGTTGACTCGTTGAGGTCTGGAAAGAGCGTGAGCAGACTACGGGACGAAGAGGCCATTTTCTGGGCAACAGAGTGTTACAGAGTATTACAGAGTTTCTCTCTCAGACAACGAAGAGTTTTTTTCAGAGGTTTTTTCACAAGTTTTTTTGTCTTCGCTTCTGCCTCAGCCTCAGCCTCCGTCTTGGTTAAATAGCCAAGGCAGACACGCGCATCATGCGCCGCTCGGCGCTAGACGACAACTTGGGCGCGCCTTTTGATGGCACGCCTTTTTATGGATTGGGCACGCCTTTTGATGGCACGCCTTTTTTGAAAGATTGGGCACACCTTTTGAGGGTGCGACTTTTTAGGGGTCCGACAAGACTGTGTAAACTGTCCCGACATTGATTCCGGTTAGCTCCTTCATGGGTCCGACAAGACTCTGTAAACTGTCCCGACATTGATTCCGGTTAGCTTTTACATCGGTCCGATGTGACCTCGTCAACTGTCCAGACTTTATCTGCTACAACGGTCTGCCACAACCATACAGTGTCCTCTACAACGTTATGACACAACCATACAGTGTCCTCTACAATGTTATGACACCACCATACAGTGTCCTCTACAATGTTATGACCCAACCATACAGTGTCCTCTACAACGTTATGACCCAACCATGTGTCTTCACCAACGGTCTAACACGACCATACAGTGTCTCCTATCCATTTTTTATTTTTCAAATTATTTTCTTGTTTTGTTACTCTCTCCAAACTCAAGTTGGTTAGTTCCTATCCCCCCTGAGTTTGCGGGGGGCTGTTAAAACATACTGTTAAAACCTACCATCACCTACTCCACCTACTACACCTACCACCACCTACTACCACCTACTACACACCTACCACTACCACCTACTCCACTACATCTCCTATATAAGGAGCCCCTTACCATTTGTAATACATAACATACAACAATAAATAATACAATCAATATCTATACAATTCTCTATTTCTCTTTATACATTAAATTTCTACAGTTACAACCTACAAATCATATTCAGCAAGTTTTTTGACAGGTAAAACTTCATACACAACTGTGAATTTTGGACAAAGCTAAACAAAATTCCATCATGTTTAATTGATCAAGTCACTGCAAGTCGACTGAAAGGATCAAATAAAACAGAAATCAGTATTAGTGTGGGGAAATGGATATGCATTTTGACGGAAAGGATCGAGTAAAATATAAATTAGTATTAGCATGGGGAAATTGGTTGAGCCAAAATTAGAAGTGGAAAATAATCTTGATTTTATCACATCATGTGCTCCACCAGGTAACCAAAATACTATACAACTAAAAAATCATTCACAAGTTTTCCCAAAGGGAAATTGCAAGCAACATATTTATAAAAGACTCACTTGCGAAGAACAAAAAGATCTGGCTTTCCCCATGAGAAAAGCTCGGTTGACTTGTCCACTTGTGGAGAAACATATGCAGAAATTACTGCTTCATTTGGAAAAGTACAGGGAATGTGCCAGTTTTTGCTCACATTTCTCTGTATAAATAAAATTTAGTGATATTCAATGAAGAAATGACAAAAGTAAACACTAAATAGAAAAATAGAACAGCTTGACAGATGATATTACATGCTTATCCATGAAGACCTGCCTCGTGTTATCAATATAATCCATAGACTGTGAAACAGTTTGGTCAGATGCAGAGAGTTCTTCCAGATTGCTATTCGAGCAATCAACATCACTGTCACTGACTTTTGACCCTCTTTTCCTCGAACTAGATCCTGGTTTCACATCAAACGTCCCCAGAATCGTTGGATCTGGTGATTCAATCCACTCCCGGAATTTACTGAGTCCATCTTCCTCAGGAAATGCATTAACAACTTCAATAGCATTAACAATGCCAATCCCACTGCAACACAAACCCATACCAAAAACAAAATTAAAAAGAGGTCACTCATGTAAATCCCATGCTTCTGAGTAGGCTCAGACTGCTACACCTATAAAGAATAAATAGCAAAACAAATCTCAAATGAGTAGGCCAAAATAAAAAGGTTGCATAACTGCCAAACAGTTCTACAACGATAAGAAATAAATAGCAAAACAAATCCCAAATGACTAGGCCAACAGAACAAGTTCGTATAACTGCCAAACAGATGGGGGCCTTGGGATGTAATTGTAAGATTTCTGAATAGCTTTCTGTGTCTCACATATTCAATGTGTATCAAAGATTACAATCAGACCTTAGATTATATAGCCCTAAATCCTAAACCAAAAAGGAAAATACAAATACAATTATAATTATGTCTCTAACAGGACTCTAACACAATCATGCCTCTAATAGGACTCTAATTTGTACAAAACACACAATAACATATTCCATATTCTCACACCCCCGCTCAAACTCAAGGTGTTTTAGCAGAAAATACTGAGAGTTTGCTAAGAAGAAACTGAAACCGAGCGGTAGTGTGAGTCTTGGTGAAGAAGTCCGCAAGTTGCAAAGCCGCGATACTCAACTTCGGCAGTAGAGCGAGCAACGACTGATTGTTTCTTACTTTTCCAAGAGATCAAGGAATCTCCAAGAAACATACAGAAACCAAACGTAGACTTACGATCAGTAACATCACCGGCCCAATCAGAATCAGCATAAGCCACCAAGTCCAAAGAGGAAGTAGAGGACAACAATAAGCCCTGAAAGACGGTACCCCTAAGATAGCGAAAAACGCGAACCAAAGCAGCCCAATGGGTAGAGCGAGGAGCAGAAACGAACTGACTAACCACATGAACAACATAAGCAAGATCAGGGCGAGTGACAATCAAATAAACTAAACAACTCACAAGCTCGCGATATAAAGTGGGATCATCCAGAGGGACACCATCAATAGAGTTAAGCTTCACATTAAGCTCAATAGGTGTATCAGAAAACTTAGTACCAGTAAGACCAGCACGATGAATAACTTCATTAGCATACTTGGCCTGAGACAGAAAATAGCATTTGGGAGAAGAAGCAATCTCAATACCAAGAAAATACCATAATGGACCCAGATCCTTCATTTCGAAGGTGCGGAAGAGATGTTGCTTGACCTCAGAGATAGCAGAAGAGTCCAAGCCAGTGATGATCATATCATCCACATAGAGTAAGAGAGCAACAAAACCAGCCGAGGTATGTCGCAGAAATAAAGCAGAGTCGGAAGCAGAAGGATGAAACCCGAGCTCGGTAACAGCAGTCTGAAATTGATCATACCAAGCACGAGGAGACTGCTTTAGACCATACAGAGCACGCCGAAGACGACAAACCTGACCAGAGGGATAGTGAAGGCCAGGTGGAGGACGCATGTAAACCTCCTCAGTGAGATGGCCATTAAGAAAAGCATTCTTAACATCCATCTGATAAAGAGGCCAAGAACGAACAGCAGCAACAGAGATCAAAGTACGGACAGTAGCCATTTTGGCAACAGGAGCAAATGTCTCCTCATAATCAATACCATACTCTTGAGAGAAACTTTTGGCAACCAGACGAGCTTTGTAACACTCAAGAGAACCATTAGAATGAGTCTTGACTTTGTAGACCCATTTGCAACCAACCAGGTTCTTATCAGCAGGCAAAGGAACCAACTCCCAAGTACTAGTTTTTTGTAAAGCAGACAACTCATCCTTCATATAGCTTGAACCCAATGAGGATCCTGACAGGCCTCCTTGTAAGACTGAGGTTCTACAAAAGAGTGAATAACAAACAAAAAGGTACGATAGGAAGTAGAAAAACAAGTATTAGACCAACCCAACCTGTTTGGAGGATGACGTGCTCGAGAAGGATATCGGTGTGTAGTAGGATCAGAGTCGTCAGAAGCAGAGGGAGCAGCAACAGGGGTAGAGACAACCGGTGGAGGAGGAGCCTTATGACGAGAATAAACTAACAACGGAGGAGGAGGAGAAGCCGAAGAAGGAGAAGTAGCTAGAGGTATAGGAGATTGTGGAACAAGCTTAGGGGGAACAATAGAGATGTACTCATCAGACGAGACCTCAGAAGGAAATGGGTCAATGTGAACCAAATCCTCTTTGAAAACTGGAGCAGTGAGAGGGGGAAGCTGGAAGTAAGATAGACGTTCAAGAAAGGCAACATGACGGGAGACATAAAGACGACGGGAAACAGGGTCGTAACATCGATAACATTTCTGAGTAGGACTATAACCCAAAAAAACACAAAGGACAGACCAGGCACTAAGTTTGGTCCTATCTTTGCGGGAAAGAAGAACAAAACAGGCAGACCCAAACACACAAAGGAGGGAATAGTTAGGAATTTGGGAGAACAAAGCCTCATAAGGAGACCGACCAGAAAGAAGGGGAGTAGGCATGCGGTTGAGAAGAAAAGCAGCAGTAAGAACTGCCTCCCCCCAAAATGGAGCCGGAACTGAGGCAGAGAGAAAAAGAGACCTAGCGGTCTCAAGAAGATGATGGTGTTTATGCTCGGCTCGACCATTTTGGGTAGGTGTATCTGTACAGGAAGTTTGGTAAATGGTATCCAAATTGGCCAAATACTCACAGAACTCATTTTTAAAATATTCTCCACCCAAGTCAGACCGTAACACTTTAATTGTAGACCCAAATTGAGTAGTAATCATAGACTGAAAAGTATGGTATATCTGATAGAAATCGGACTTATGAGTCATAAGATAAACCCAAGTGTAACGGGTGCAGTCATCAACAAATAACATATAGTATGCAGAACCCCCTTTGGTGAGAACAAGAAAAGGGCCCCAAACGTCAGTATGAACTAAAGAAAACATTGTATCAGATATAAAAGTACTTTTACGAAAAGGTAAGGCTGTCATTTTGGCAAGTTTACACTCCCGACATTCAATAAGTTCACTAGGAGAAACTTTACCCAAAATACTTGACTGAGCTAAAGATTGTAAGCGGTCAGCGGACAAATGCCCTAATCGATAATGCCATAAGGAGAAAGGACTAGACAGAGAATCTAACTGAAAAGAGGAAAAGGCAGTCAAAGAGGTTGCTATAGGCAGATGCAAGCTCTCCACTATATAGAGGTCTCCAATTCTACGGTCGGTCCCAATCTGCTGCTTAGACATTCGATCCTGTACAGAACAGATAGCAGAAAAAAAGATAACATCAAAACCAGCGACATCAAGTTGACTGATAGATAATAAACTGACAAATAACTAAGGAACATAAAGGACAGATGGAATAGAGACAGCAGACATAGCAGACAGTAAGACAAACCCAACAGATACAACAGACATACTAGATCCATTAGCAGCATTGACAGTAATAGAAAAGGGAGGAGGAGTACAATTTTGAAGTAAGGAGAGATGGGGAGTCATATGATGAGAAGCACCAGAGTCAAAAATCCAAACAGACGAAGAAATACCTGAAGAAGAACCAAGCAAACCTGAATGAAGAGAGGAAACAATGGAGGCAAATGGGGATGGCTGAGAGGTAGACAATATATGCTGAAGCTGACTAATCTGAGCAGTTAAGGAAGCCAAGTTAGGATCAGGAGCTGGAGCGGATGTAGTATACGCAGCGGGAGAAGCCCAGAATTGATTTTGAGACTGCTGAAAAGATGTGGCAGACAGACATCCCTTCTTGGGACAATGGTACTTCCAATGGCCTTTCTGATGGCAGAAAGCACACTCATCAGAAGTCAGAGACATCACAGTAATCAGAAAACTGAGAGGTTCAAGTATAATCAAACAAAATAGCCAAACCAAGAGTTTAAGTGTAATACTCAAAATCTGAGGGGGCAAAGTGTAATAACTCAAAATATAGCACAGCTGGGTCAAAGACTTGGTGGGTTGAAATCAGATATCAAACACAAAGAGAGAGATCACCGTTAAAAGACCAAAGCAAACTAGCAAACTCAAAAAGAGGGAGACCACCGACTGAAGTCAAGAGAAAACGAGAGAGACAAATGGAAGTCGAGAGAACCAGAAGGAGAGAGGCAGACTGAGCTGTGAGGAGTCGAAGCACTGCAACCACGTCAAACAGATGGGTCACCCAAGTTAACCAGAAAGAAGAGGAACCACGTCAAAGGTCGAGAGAGCAAAGAGACGAACCAGAGGTCAACTAGATGGGTCACGAGAGGAACCAGACCTAGACGTGGTAACGAGACGAACAAACGACCCACGAAGCAAGGAGCTTCGATTGACAACCAGGTCTGTGAGAGAGATGGATTGCGAACCAGTTTGAACCAACGACGCGCGATTCTAGTGACAGAAGACCGTTATTCTGACGATTACCCAACAAAGCCCAAATCAGACGACTAGATTAGAGAGGATCTCTGGCACTCTTCAACAGATGATGTAGGGTTTCGTGACCTGCTCTGATATCATGTAAGATTTCTGAATAGCTTTCTGTATCTCATATATTCAATGTGTATCAAAGATTACAATCAGACCTTAGATTATATAGCCCTAAATCCTAAACCAAAAAGGAAAATACAAATACAATTATAATTATGTTTCCAACAGGACTCTAACACAATCATGCCTCTAATAAGACTCTAATTTGTACAAAACACACAATAATATATTCTATAGGTGAGATTGCCGCCCGCCGGGGAAGCGAAAAATACCAGGTTCTAAACCTGCTCTGATACCATGTTAAAATTGATGTATTATTGATTGATGTATGTTGTATATTACAAATGGTGATGGACTCCTTATATAGGAGATGTAGTGGAGTAGGTGGTAGTAGGTGGTAGTGGTAGGTGTGTAGTAGGTGGTAGTGGTAGGTGGTAGGTGTGTATGTGGAGTAGGTGATGGTAGATTTTAACAGGACTCTAATTTGTACAAAACACACAATAATATATTCTATATTCTCACAATAATTATGGCAAAACACAGAAGGATATGATCACTAGTGTAGTGTACCTTACACCTTCAGTATAATCACTCCCAAGAAGCAGTGCCATACGGATTAGTTTTTCTCGTGTTAGGCCAAGATCATTCTCAATATCCTGATACATGACATCAATAGGGCATTAAACAAGCTGCTGTGAGTGCACCCCACCTTCCCCAGCCAACAAGGGAGTGAGATTAACTATCATTTCCCAAAAACATCAAAGCCGATATGAGACTCGATAAGAACAAGCTAAACACCACAAAACTGAAAGAAATAAAATTTTAAAAAATAAATAAATCAAATAGAATTAATTTTCACCGACAAACCATTATAAGCAAGTGCTCCCATAGTACCAATCAAATCGAACCTACTACCCTGAGCTCCAACTGAGCCTTGCAAAATAAACTAGGGGCAGTACAAGTTCAGTATATACTGTAGACTCAGTAACAGAAAATGGACTGAGAAAAATAACAAACTCTGAAAAATATTATGGGTTAAACAAAACAATTATAGAGTTGTGGCAGTAGAATAACAAGTTCATTATAAAATGTAACATAACAGGAGGTAGGAAGAACAACTCTATGCCAGATACAAACCTTCATAAAGTACGTCTCAACATATTTGCGGTCATCGAATATATTCTTGTAAACACTTTGTGCCCCAAACAAGAACACATCAGAGTCATCAGTAATCACACCGTCTACAAGGCTTTCCAGTTCCATGTATGCACACTGAGCTTCAGCTTCCATTGGTGCAATAATATATGGCAAGCCAAACATTTGAAGAAGCTCCTGAAATCATACCAAATATTAGGACCAACTGAACTCGGATGGTTTTTTTCTCTTTGTTTCCTTTTTCAGAAAGCAATTAAATCTACTGACAAAAGTGGCACCAACAAAAAAGGATAAATGAAGAGAAAAACCACCTCCCAAGTGCCCAAACAAGTATTCAACCCCAACACACCACACCACACCATAAAAAGAAAAATAAAAAAAAGATGTTTTTGCTGCCAAACATCGTTTAAATGAAAATCTAAAAGCAAAGATTTCTGAGTTAGCATCACCATAACAAATTACTATGGAGAGTACTGTTTATGCTGCATAAGAAGTTACACCTAAAAGTTGCAACATAGTATCGTTGAGCACTTGAGCTCCAAACCAATATAAAAACTAGTTGCGCATTGGCTCCAAGTGGTTGGAGAAATTGAGGACTGGGAAGCCCTTCTTAGGATTCTCTTCAAGTCACATCAAAATAAATGACAAAATTAGTTTGAGTCAATTGGCCATATATCTTCAGAAGTTAGTGAACATTAAATTGGAAAGCAGCAGCGTTGAACATATATAGATCTAACTATTATAAAAGAGAAAATATATAAGTTCACTACAACAGCTAATTGACACAACACTTGATCCTTACACAAATACTTCGTCTCGAGAATGGAATGGAAAACTAACTTTCGACAAAGCTTCAACAAACACAACAAAGGCTGTGTTCTTAAAAAGGTAACAAGCAAGGTATTTGTTTCCAATAAAAAGTAATATACATGCCACTCATGTGAAAGCTATTAAACATAAACACATGCCTTTCAATGATGCAAATCAAAATTGAGCACACACCTGGCATTCTGCAAACATTTCACTGCTAACAGACTCCGCATTGCGCTCGAGCTTTCTCTGCTCATCTCCTAAATCTATGCGTTCTTTGCTTAAATTTAGCATTTCCTCCTCCAAACTAGCCTCTGTAACTTCAATTGGCTGCTCTGTGGCATCCTTATATGTAAATTCATGCATCTCATCCCCTCTCTGCTCAGCAACATTATCATGATTTTTTTCATTGGGCAATTTTTGTGCAACATCATGGTTGGCTGTTGATTCTTTAACAGAAGATTCTCTGTGTTCTGTTGTCTCTATTAAACAGTAATTTGCATCAGCTTCAAAGACATTTTGTTGAGCATTAGCGACAATGACATGAGGTGTCTCACCCAACACCATATCAGAAATCTGAGAACTAACCCCAGAACAACTATTGCCACAGGTGACCTGACCACCAACATTAGATGTATCCAAGAGCTGCTCCACAATCAAGTGAACCCCCTTTCCTTCAACAGTAGTTACTTCCTTACGTTCAATTTCTCCAAGTAAAATTTCAGCTTCACTATTACCTTGCAGAAAACGTTCACCATGCGGATCTGGGTACCTTTCACATGGTTTATCTATCGGTCCTTCTGTGATATCAGGACAAACTGCCATTGATGTTGCCAACTGTCCCCCAGGAGAATCATCAGTATTTAACATATTAATTCTAGCCTCACTGTCCACCCTTTCAACTCTACTGATAACCTCGTAAGATGATTCATCTGTTAGCACAGCATTATCTGGTGGCATATTAGGCTCAGCCTTGTCATTTTCTTGACGAACAGAACCAACACTTGTAGTCTGACGAGGCATTTCTATGGCGTCTTTTAATTTCTCAGCTGCAAGCGATGCACTAGATTTCTGTCCCTTTAAATCCTCCAGACTTCTCCTTACTGCTTCTTGGAAATCAGCTTCCTCTTCAAAAACACCTTTTGAGGCAGTTTTACTGGTTCAGCAGGAGATGGAGAAGCATACTTACGAACATCAGAATCTCCGTCCTCCCATCCACTTCACTGTCATTATTATTACTGTCACCGTCAGCAAGAGCAAGCCTACTTTCCTTTTTAATATCATGAATCAAACTATTACCTTTCTCTTCAATCACTCCTTCTTCCCAGTCACAATCTGAATCAGAATCAAGAGAATGTTTCTTTGAGGGACTATTATCAGCTGAAGAAATCATTACTGGATCTCCTGCCACTAAACGAGCAAATATATCATCATCATCCAAACATTTGTGGCCACCATCATCCTCAAACGATATCTCCATCAAATTATCATTTTTAAATGTAGACTCATCATTCCTATCATCTAAGTGAACAGATCCATCACTACCTTGATACGAAGTTTCTATAAGCTGGATTTTATCAGGAAGTCTTCTTGAGACACCACCTGATTTTTTATCAAGGATAGACTCATTATTTGCAATCTCAATTGTGTGCACTTGGTCTTGCTCGATCTCTTTCATCAAATCCAAATTTCTTTGTAAATCTCGGGTCATGCGAATTCCCATAGCCCTCACCCTACTGACTCGAACACGTCCCCTCTCATCCAGATATGTCTCAATATCATTATCAAAAACCCTTCCAGAGTCATCTGCAACTGATCCAGTTTCAGCATTGGACTTCTTGGTAGATGATGCAATGCTCCCCAGAGACTCTGAAGGAGGAGGTTTCTCAATATTATTATCAAATACCCTTCGACGGTCATCCGCTACTGATCGAGTTTTAGCATTGGACTTCTTGGTAGATGCAATGCTCCCCAGAGATTCTGGAGGAGGGTCAGATGGTGTCTGATGTAGCTTTTTATTCTCAACATGTCTGTCTACTCCAGCAGATGTAAGAACTCTAAAATATTTGAGCATATAATAGACAAATAAAAATCATTCCATCAAGCAAAAAAGATATACCAACAAATAAATCAAGTTCATCAGAAATGTTTTAGTGTTTAACAGCAAGATATGCATAGGCTCCATCTCATGTATTAATATTGTAAAGAAGAGAATCTTATTGACATCAGAACTCAAAGAGAAGAAAATGTAGATATTCTACTCACTGTTTATCCCCAGTAAAAGATGATGAGAAAATAAACTCTCTATTGGCTTCAGAGGCTATCCGCGAAGTCTGGACACCACCTACTCCCTTCCCAGCAGCAGATTTCTGAACTTCATCTATCTCCCGACGAAAAGCCACAGTTTTGAGATAGGACTGTATTTGTAATTCTGAAAACTTTGCAGGGGCCTAGATGTGCACATATAAAAACTACTTCAGTTATTATCAGTGAGTTCAAAAAAGAGATGTCTTTCCACAGAATTCAAACGTGCACTGGGATTGACATGGTGGAAAGAATAAATGTTTGAATCACTAAGCCCATGTGGATACTTCTGCAGATGATTAAAAATTAACCAAATAAAGTTCCTTAACATGAATAACCAAGGCCATTGCTAACCATACCATCACCATTGGACTTCTTGGCACCTGCCCTAGCTATATGAGCAACTCATACAAAAGAGATGGGGCTGTGTGTCTTAAGAGAGGAATAATGCATCAGACCAACTTTACCTCACTGTATATCCCACATGTTCCCCAAGCAAATACACCCTACCGTCATGGCATCACTGACAATTAGAGATAATGAAGCTTTCTACTATTTCCTCCTCTCCCCTCTTTTTTACTCTCATCCATCAATCATATCTTTCTGGTCTTTCTGACAGAGTACATAAACTCCTTATCTACAGAAGGAAACCTAAAACTCTTGGCTTGCCATCATAAACCGGGAAAGCTGATTATCATCCAGTTATACTCAAGAATTCATGACAAAATGATACATTTAAAAGTTCCATATATTACCACGTGAACCAAAAAACATTATTGCTAATATAACCCTGTAAAATGGAAATAAACATTTTTGCCATGTTTGATTTGTATTTGTGAAACAATTTCAAAAAATAATTTTTTTGAAAAAGTTTACAAAACTTGAAAATTTGTTTGGTTGTATATTTTGAAAATAGTTTTGGAATTTTGGATTTTTTTTTTTTTTTTTTTTTTTTTTTTTTTTTTTTTTTTTGTAGTTGAATAGATGGGTGTGATAGCAAATGTGATTGATTGATGTATAGTAAAGAGAAAAGTGATTTGAATTTTTTTTCAAAAATTTTCAACCAAACAAAGTTTTAAAATTTTTTCCCACAAATTGTCACTCAAGAGACAAACCGAACAAGGCATTTTTTTTCAGTTTTTTCCAAATCAATTACTTCATATTATTCTAGACAAACTGGTACTTTCATGGAAAAGTAAACACCCACTGTAATACCTATTCTCTTTGTTCTATCATTTTGTACTCTTACCAACCTTTCCTAATTTTCATACATTTTGACAAGCTTGGAACAAATGGATAATAGGATAGATCCTAAAGAGTCTTGACCAAGATAATAGTGAAGAATTTATTTGATTTCAATCGCATATATTACCTTTTTGACCTTTTGATATTTCTGTCTGTTCTCTGCCATCAATCTCTCTCTCATCTACAAAACAGAAGAGTCATACCTCAGACAAGAGCTTAGAAAAAGGGGGGGGAAAAAAAAGAGTTAGCTTAATTCCCCCCCTTCTCTTCCAGATTAGAATGTTAGTTCACTTACCTGAACAAGAAGATCAAGTTGCATTGATGGAGGTAAAGCAGCTAACACAGCAGGATCAACTTTTCCATTCATTGCTGGCTGCAAGATCAATTAGAAACAACGTGAACGGAAACATCACTAATTTCTTGAATCCTTTAATGTCAAGTATAACCTATATAGAATCCTAGAGGCACTTCTAAAAAGTAAAAATAAAAAAGAGAAATAAATACTAACAGCATCAAGTTCTATTATTCGCTAACACAAATAAAAATAAAAATAAAACAAAAACCAAAGGATGTAATGAGATAGAAACAATAGAACTTTTAGGATGCATGCACATCCTTCTTTCCAACAACCACCAAAACCCATAGCACCCTTACCAATGTCAATTTTTTCCTCTTTCCGAGTCATCTACAATATCACATTCACCGGCCTCAATCCCCAAAAATAAAGCAGCCCCGTGATCTAATTTCAATTGCAAATTAGTGTTATTATATTTTGTGACTTTCCATGGCTTTGTGTTTCAAAACATAGTTAATCTATCAGAAGAACAACCCAATTATATCATTAATAACCATCAAATGCAAGATCTGCATTATGGGTAAAGGTCAGAAAATGAGACATCTAACTTGAATCATATGACAAATACTTACAAGTATCATCTCTTCATCGTCACTGTCATTATCTTCTTCCGTAGGAATCCCCATGCCAGAGGTTGATGCATTGCCAGTAAAACTTTCATCTTCCTCTGCCGCAAGGGATGCTGCCAACCTTAATCAACTTGGCATAAAGAACAATCAGAATTCTTGGCATCCATATTTAATGATAAATTAGAAGTGCAATCAAGTATGAAGCTTACATTTCATCTAGTTCTTCCTGGTTTAAACTAAATGATGCAGTATTATTTCCTTCTGCATTGTCATCTGCCATTTCTTTCTGATCAGTGATAACCTTTTTACCCTTAGCATCATTCTTCTGCCTTTGGCTTTCGAGATCGTTGGCCAGTTCTTTCAACCTCATTGCCTTGAGCTATTAATAAAAACCAAAAACAAAAACAAAAACCATAACTCAAAAAGTATTAATTGATTTAATCACTGTGATTTCCCCAACTTCAAACAAATAGATAGTGAATTCCCACCCAAATTCGGTTGGTGAGAATATTGACTAAAAAACAGATATTTATAATTTTAATCATAAATTTAAGAATTGTTTGAATGACATAAATGTAAAACTCACCAAATATAGGCCAAAAAGTTAAGCCATACTCAGTTTTAAAAAATCTATAAAAATAAAAAATAAAAAAATGACAAATCAACCACTCAAAACAACAGTCCCTTTTCTTCTCCCGTACGAAAACTTCAAAAAGTCAATTATATTTTACAGAGCCCGCTGAAGATTAGAGAAACAGTAAGCATGAGCTGAACAAAAACGATAGAGATTGCAAGAACCAGCTTCAAATCTAAACCAAAATAAATTTTGCAAATTCAACTGGATATAATAGCAGAAACACAAACACTTGAAGAAACTCACGTGGTTGAGGAGCAATTTCTCAGCAGTTTTTCGGATCTTAGCCTGAGCATTCTCGCGCTGTCTGCGACGAGCGATGACAGTCCGGCGCTTGAGAGCGGGAGTGCCACCATCAAAGACGAAGACTGGCTTGGTACGGAGGAACAATAGCTTGCAGATTCGGCGAAAGAATCCCAAAATATGAGCGTTCTTCACCATTTCGCCTTTATCGTCCCTCATCGCCTTCATGAATTGGATCATCCATATACTCGCATCTGCAAAACAAAATTGAGATATAGCATTAAATAATATACGATCGTTCTATTGCTTTGATCGGGAATGGAATTAGAGCTAGGGTTTGAAAGGGAGAGAAGACCGATTGCGAGTTTCTTTCCGGCTAGGGTTTCGACGGAGACGCGGCGGCCGACGGGGGCAAGCAGTTCCCAGAGACCGTGAACGCCCATCGTGGCTTGTTGACAACGTTTCTCCTTTCTTCGGTTATTGCTGCCGCCAATGCGCTTCTTCACTTGAGTGTTATTTATGCTACGGCATGCTGTTGAGGCCGTGGACATAAAAACGACGCCGTAGTGTCTCGTCAGTAAATTGTTTCTCCTCCTCCGTTAAATTACAGTCACCACCGCCTTCATAATTTATTTTAGGATAAATTACAAATACACTCTTCAAATTTGATTAATTTATTTAAGAATAAATTATAAATACATTCTTAAAATTTTATTAAAATAATTTATTTATAATTGGGTTTACAAATATAATCCTGAGATTTGATTAAAATATGAATCACCCTTGTGATTCTGGAAATTACATTTCACTATTTGAAATTTCTAATTTCATAACAAATCATTTATTTTATTAATAAATCACCAAGTCAATTAACAGTTTTTAATGATGTTAGAAATATGTTTCAATTAATAATTTAAGTAATTTTATTATTGTATAGGAGAGCAATTATAAATTTCATTTTTTAAGTTAATTCTGTTAAATTCAAAATTTTGATAAGGTGGTATTTGTAATTTTTCAAATCACAAGGGCAATCTACACTTTAAGCAAATCTCAAGAAGTATATTTGTAATTTATCCTTTATTTAATTAATTAAATAAAACAAATTTTGAAAATTTAGAATAATTATGCCATCATTTCTTACAATTTAATTCGCACCATACAAGTAAAACACAAAAGAATTAAAAAATACAAATTATTTGTCACTAAATTTAATGTACTAATTAATATATTTTTAATATTTCATATATATTTAAGACAAATTTTTAATATTTCATATATATTTAAGACACTTCTACATACCTTTTTTTTTGTTACTGACTTCTACCTACTTTTCAACGTTAAACAATGCTTAACAGGCATTTGTTAGCATCTGTCATAAAATAATTTTATGCTAAAATATGTATTTTTTGTAATAACAATGCTACTTTCATCTAATTTATTCCCGTTAAATGACTTAATGATGTGACATTGAGGTTATATCTAGGGATAGCAATGGGATAGATATTAATTTCACATCTCCATTCTCCTATTATAATTTTTCCACATTTATCATCCACCATTCCCTATGGGGATTACATTTCCTATACCCTAATGAGTTTGGGTTTTTTCCAAAAGTAATATTAGAAACCTTAAAATTTTTATTAAATGTCTCACATGGATATAGGACCCACACAATGTAGGTCATTTGTAAGGCATTTGGTAAAATTTTTAATAGAATTTTTGAAATCTCTACCATTTTTATTTTTCCAACCCAACTTGACTCCTTTTTTTTTTTTCAATGTTCACAGTCAAAGCCAAAATACACATTCAATTATTATTATTTTCTGTTGTTCAACAACAAAATCAAATACACTTTAGTTAATTAATAAAGAAGCTTATTTTAAAATAATAAAATTTAAAATGTTTTTTCGAGAATAAAATGTAAAATATTGATAAAATATTTAATAATTTTTTAAAAAAACATACATGGAGAGATATAAACAAAGAAACACAGAAAAGCAAGAAAGAAAAGAACCATGGCAGCAGCAGTGACTAGAGATGGATTGTGGGGCTAAGGCAAACAACGTAAATAGAAAACTTATCAGAGTCCCAAACGATAAAGCTATTGCGAGCTCTACTCCACGAGACCACGAAATCGCAATGAGGGTCTTCTACCATTTCAAACGTCTTGTTCAAAAACGGAGGCAAACTCACATCATGAAGCCTCTCCATAGGCCTCAGCAATGAAAAGGACAATAAGCTCTTTTGTATGGAGAAATGGGTGGGTATCCAACCCCGATAGATATTTAAATTATACCGCCTACCCAACCAGGCAGGTAAGAACATGGGAAAAACCCATGGCTGTGTTTGGTTGTATTCTCAAAATATATTTCCACTCGTATATTTGCGCTTCACGTTTGGATACAATTTTCAAATCGTAATTCCACCATACAATTCAAAACATATCTCCACTTCCCGTTTGGCAGATTTCTCCCTTCGTTTCACCACTGTAAAAAGCTTTCAACGGTACATACTATGTGTCTTCGATATTCTCCATTCCTGAAAAGCTTCACGTGAAATAAATTTAAAGCTGAACTTCTAAAAAGCTTCACTTGGAAAGAAATTTAAAGCTAAACTTCACGAGTGGTCTTCCTCTTTTTCAACGATCACAGCTCAAGATTCTTCACGGGTCATGTTGTTCTCTATGAACTGAGACCTTCAAATCTAAACTATGTCTGTAAACCCCCTCTCCACCCATAAAATCGCATCTACCAGCTCCCACAAATCAAGTGAGTTGCAGTCTGTGTGTTACGGAAGATTCACTCTCCGAGCAACAAAACAACAACAAGACCGAAGTCAACTAAATCACAAAATTCTCTTAAATTTTAAATTACAACTCACTGATTTCCTCAAACATCCCCAAATTCATTCCCAATTTATGTGTGTCAGGCCAAATTTGTAAAGCGTATTCTCAAATCAGACGCCTACCGAAGAAGCGCGCATCCACCCACTGTACCCACTCTGTCACCGATGATAACTATTTCACTCATACTGCTCTGATACGTATATCCTTCAATCAATCTGCTAGTCGTATATCATTCAATCCTTCAATCAATCTGCTATGTAATAGATGAGAAGCATAAATGGTTCTGATCTGTCAAACCGGTCAACCGTCAGGACAACTAGCCGGTTGTCCCACCGGTCTTCCGGCCGGTCCACCGCCAGCCCAACTCTCTCTCCTCTGGGTCAACCGCCACTTACCCCATTTGATGCTTCTCTTCTTCTTCTGCTCTCCTTCTGCTTATTTCTGCTTATTGTCTACTGTGTACACTACTTTCACAAACTTTTTGTATGCAATATTCTGTTTATGCTTGTTGTATCTATTTTTTCCAACACTGTTAACAATTTCAATTGATGAATTTTTTTCCTAGCAATATTCTAATTTTTCTTGTTGTATCTGTTTTTCCCAACACTGTTAACATCTTCAGTTGATGAACTTTTTTTCCTACCAAAACATAATTGGAGATGATTCTTGCATTTTTATTTTTTAATATCCAATTCAGATTTGTTTAGATATAAATTGTGTGTTATTAGATGAATGGCAACAATTCTAATAACAATCAAGACACAAGAATGTAGAGTTTCAGAATTGAAATGAAGCTAATAAACATATTAAGAGACGAGATAAAAAAATCAAATAACAAGTCGTAATAATGTGTAGACAATTAGGCATTGGAATCATTTTGCAACTAAGTTGCAAAATTTATATGGGTTTTGATACATACCAAAATAGGTGAGACAAAAATATCGGCGATTGAAAGCTGATTACCAAACCTTCAAGCTATTGTAGGTACAGACCGGTCTGGGATGAGATCCCATTTTAGGAACGGTTGTTACACCCGATAAATTTTGGGATAAGGTATTGAATTAACCTACACCCTTTTCAAAAAAAAATTGTAACATTTGATCACACGTATAGAACTCTTATTTTTAATATTTCAATTGTTGTAGGCAACAAAAAAATGTTAAGAAATTTAGGACAAAAGGATTTGACTATTTTCAAGAAAGGGCCGAAATTGTTGAAAATTGTTGTGCCACAAGGGCCTTGGCCCGTGCATCCACACAAGGAGCCCCTGACTCTAATGAAAATGATGAAATGCTTAATAATTTTTGGTCGCCTGGAGCTGGTAGGAGTAATGCTGCTGAACTTATTGCTGTTGACTCTTTTGGCGATGAGTACATAGAACCATCGAAAGGAAAAAGTCACAAGAGAGGCCCTAAACATAGCCAGACTATTAGTGATTGTTCTAAAAGGTCACAGCCAAGTGGCTTTGATGATGTCTACGTAGCTCTCACTACCTATGTACAAGCAAAAACGGAACATTCTCATACCCGATCAATAGACACAGATGCTGTAAGTGCAGATGGTGATGACTATTCCCTTGATGCATGGCAAGATGCCCTATTAGAGCTTGGGGACATACCACCGGTCCAGTACATTAAAGCACTGACACTATTCAAAGACAATGAATGACAGAGATTTTTTATGTGTACTCCTGCCCATATGCGCCTAGCTATGATCCTAGCCTTGCAGTGAACGGAGAAGTTATGGCATGGTCAAGCTTGCAATTCTCTTTGTGGTTATCCAACATGATTTGATGATATCTATGTTGTTCTTATTAAAAAAAATTTCACCTGATGACATGCTCTTTTTTATTCTTCTTTCTCTGTTTATTTCTATATTTTTTAAAATTGTTTATGTTTTACATTTAGATGTGATTTTATTCTTCTGCGTTATTTCATATCTGTTTTCTTATTTCTGCTTCAACTTTCAATTTTACACACAGCATACAATATGAAAAAGTAGTAATGACAATATGATTAAATATTAATATGTTTTTTCTTCGCATGTATGTTTCTATTTAGTTCGATAAATGACTAAGGTCAACAAATTGTAGGCAGTGGTTTATTTTAGTTTCACTAATAAGGATAATAATTAGCATGTTGTTAATCATTTTTTTTTATAATTATGCGTTATTGTCATGTAACCGAAACAATATGTCATCCAACACAGAAAACAATGCAATTGAGAGATCATCAGAGAATGATGAGGTTATTGAAGATTTTATGGACTTTTTTATGATTTTTTTTATGAATGAGCATATGAATACGTCAACCAGTAGACGACCGTAGCAAACTTATCTATTCAAAGGTAATGATTACATCTTTAGTTTATTAAATGGCCATCCAGAAACAATGATAGACATCATGCAAATTGATGCCCAAACATTCATTTCATTGAAAGACACGTTACTTCAAAATGACTTTGTCGAAGTTTAACATATGCATATCAGTGTCGAGAAATCGCTTGGCATTTTTTTGTACACTTTCGCACAAAATGACCGGCATAGACTACTAGCTGATAGATTTCAACACTCCGCTGAGACTATTTGTCAGCACATCAAAATCATTATGCGAGCACTGTGCACGCTTGCATCAACGATTATCAAACCACGTAACTAAGATGAGATAAC